TCAAGTGTCTCATACATTGTATTTAATATATTAGCAGTTACAAAGTTATTTAGTGTTGAATGTTATAAATCAGTTATAAAATATATAAAATAAACTTTATTTTTAATAATCAATAAAAATGGGTCCAAGCCAGTCGTTGTATCCTTATTAATTAAAAATCTTATTACACCAGAATCACGTAAAAGCAAACTTATTCGGTTTGTATAAAATTTGTAAAATAGGAATATATTGTATATTTCTGCCGATTTCAAAACAATTCATTGATTTTATAATAAAATAAATATTTAAAAAATAGCTTACCTATTTTCCAGATAAAGGTTGAAAATACCATATTTGTGTTCCAATAAAATCATATCGTTTTCATTTATCTGACCATGATAATTTATCCGGGTCAACTTTTATTAATTTAGAAAAATAGGGTTTATTTTTCTTATTTTTCATTTTAAAAAAATTAAATAATATTTTTTAACTTATATAAAGATATTTTAATAGAGTAATTAGTTTTCAATAGAGAGAGAGAGAGAGAGAGAGAAATATAAGAATAATAAAAAATTTATTTTTAAAGTTTATTTTAATTTATTTTTAAAAAGTTTATTTTAATTTATTTTTTAAATATATATTTATAACAGATATATAGTATAAGAAAGAGAGAGAACAGTGAGAAAGAGACAGAGTGAGAGATAGAGAGGCGATTTCTGTTACGTTGAACGCGCCGGCAATCGAGCGCCCGAAGATTGGCCGAAACTGGTGGTCCGTTTCATCTGGACGCTGGTTTCGGTAGCCGAAGTCAAGAAGGTCATCGAGAGCTTTGTTGACGCGGGTCTCCCCTTCGTCTTTACCGAAATCCGTTCCAACGAGGCTTTTGTTTGGCTCTCCGGGCCCGAGGATGCGGCTATTTGGGAGGTGACCGCTTTGCGGGGCGTCCGCCGCGTTGAGAAAGCCTACGACCGATGTTGGAATATCTAAAACGGGTGGGAAATGTCGACCACTTCATAGATGTCTCTATTTCTCTCTCTCTCTCTTTCTTTAATATACTATATTATTTTCAATACTGTATTATTTTCACACGTTTTGTATCATTTTTCGTATCAATCGCTTTAATAAACGTTATATTTTAACGCTAAATATAAGCGTTTTTATTACCGAAAATATCGGTCACTTTTGGCCGACAATATCAATGTCGAAATGGACATATTACTTGTAATAATTGTTTGCCTGAATTAAACAATAACTGTCCGGTTTGAAGCGATATAACTTAAATTAATAATATAATTAAAACTGGACATTTTCTGGACATTTAAATCTAGCTATTGAATATAACTGTACAAAATCGTCGATTAAATGTAACAAAAAAATAAAATTCACCATAAAATTCTTCTACAAATACAGCTTTGCACTGTTATTTTTTAAAATAAAATTTATTTTTATTACAAGAACACTATACTATGTTACAAATATTTCTTTATTATAATTTATTTTCGTTACAAGAACGCTATACTATGTTATTATAATTTAATAATTAAGCATTTATATAATAAAATAATAAAAATTATCTTTATCTTTATATATTATTTTAATATAATTTATTTTATTACAAGAACACTATACTATGTTATTATAATTTTAAATATTATAATTTAAAACTGTGCGCTTTTGATTTTTTAGTCGACAATTGAACGTCAAAAGTGCAAATCTGTAAGTCGACAAATATATTACATTATTTTAAATACACTGTAATATTTAATACAAGAACGCTATACTATATTATTATAATTTAAAAATTAAAACATTTATATATAATAAAATAATTCAATAAAAAATTTATAAAAGACAAGAACATAATTATTATATTTTTAAAAAATTTTATTACAAGAAATCTACACAATGATCTATATTTTATTTTAGAGAAATGTTAAAAGATTAATTTTATATTTTCTATTTAATTTTTTTATATAAATGAATTTTTAAAGGTATGTATTATTAAGATTCTTTATTAAAAATTATATTTAATTACATTATTTATTATTATTATATATTAGTAATTCTAATTAGTTATTAAAAAAAATAAATTATAGCTTAAAATTTTATAATTAAATTACGTAATTTAAATAATAATTTTTTTTATCTATATTTAAGACTTTATATATGAAATACTTATAAAAACAAATGTTATTGATTTATATATAATATTAATAATACTGTAATAAAAAGATTGTTATAACTGTATAAAAGACAACAATTTTATTATTAGTTATCTATTTAAGACATAAAACACATGAATAGTAATCACATAAATAAAGTTGTGTTGTGTTTACAAAATAAATCATTTTGTAAATAATTTAATAATTTAATATATTATTTATGAAGTGATAACCCCTCGGATTGTTTACAAAACAAACCAATTTTTTTGTTGACAATTATTATATGTTTTTTAAATTCATTGATAAATAAATTATAAATTATTTTTTTGTTTTGATTTGAAAACAATGGTTAAGAGGAAGAAGAAACCAATTACTAAAAGTGATTCATTGATGGCTGACATTGAAGTCAATGATTTGTTTAGTGAATTGTTGGCCGAAAATGAAAGACTTGTTAATGTATTGAATGAATTGAAAAGTTATTTGAAAACAATTCACACGAAATACGAGACAATGATTACCGACGAAGATATTAAACAATGGCAGACATTACAGCAATCAATGGATACAACTGTCGAGGAATACAATAGTAATAATAATGTAAGAGTTAAGCTGAAGAATAAAATTGATTTAAATAGGAAATCAAGTGATGGAAAACAATCGGCAAATAATGATAACAACATTGATGTCAATGAAGAAGACACCAATCAATTGTCTGCACAATCTCTGTGTCAGACAACTATCACCACAAGTGAAGTGTCAAAAACAGAGACAATTCGTAGAAGTAGTCGTAACACAAATAGTAAACCATGCGATGACTATCAGAGACGCAGCCGCCAGCCATACGATTGCCGACACACTGATTGTGGCCAACAGTTTAAACTGAGGTCACAGTTAACTCGTCATTACAGTGAATATCATGCGGACAACGACGACGACGCGTCACCTGAGCACACGTGTCAAGTGTGCGACAAGACATTCAAACTGGCGGTTCAATTGCAACGACACGTGAATAGACATGAAATGAGCCGACGGTCGGCATACAAGTGCTCGGAATGCGGCAGATATTTCACTACTAAGAGAAATCTCGAAAGACACCGACAGACTATACATTTGATTGTTAATGTCGGCCAAACCACTGGTCGTACGCCAGATACCGAACCCGACAGATGCCTGACTGAGTTTACTCAGCAAACGTTTGACCCGAAAACACGAAAATACATTTGTCCCGACAACGGATGTGGATTGCCGTTCAATACGGCCAGAGGTGTCTACAATCACTTTATCGAAACGCACGACACGACCACTACTGACTGTCTACCACTTGATGATAATAATGATGTTTGTAGTAGTGATCGACAACTACTAGTACTGTTGAGGCAAAACAATTTCGATGAGTCGACCGAACGATATTTGTGTCCATTTACCGACTGCGACCGTACGTACGCAACAAATCGTAATCTTAGTCTTCATTTTCAAGCGGTTCACTACAAGCCAAACGATAGACCGTATGTTTGTCGGGTGGCTGACTGTGGTAAGGGATTCAAACGCAAGTATATACTGAAAGAGCATATGAAGACACACGACTCGGATCGGCCGAAAGCCTACCAGTGCTCGCATTGTCCGAAATCCTATTTCAAAGAGTATCAGCTAAGACAGCACATGAGTTTCAGACATCTGAACGAACGTATACTAAAGTGTGCGATCAATGGTTGCGACGAATGGTTTGGTACAACACATCAGCGGGCAGTTCACCGACAGTCGGCCCACAACATGAACTATGCATTGAAATATCCAACTGATCGGCACCGATGCCAGTGGCCTGGCTGTGACTTTACCGGTAACTGTTTGGCAGTTATACGTTATCATACCCGTATACATACTGGTGAACGGCCGTACGGGTGTCAGTGGCCAGAGTGTGACAAACGATTTCGGACTAAAAAAGACTACAATCGTCATTATGTTTGTCATGAAAATCTGAAACCCTATATCTGCCAGTGGCCCGGTTGTGACTATCGGGGCAATTGTAGTGCCAATCTAGTGGTCCACAAAAAGATACATCAAAGACAACAACAACACCTATCAAGTGATACTACAATTATGACAACAATTATCAATCAATAGTTAGAATTAGAAATAATAAAATTTTATAAATGTATTAACCTATTAATATAACTTCAAAAAAAAGTATTCAAATTATGTACAAAATATTTCAAATAACTTTACCGGTAATTAATGTAATTTATTTTAGTTTATTTTGAAAACATTTCATATCGATTGTCATATGAGTGTTGTTTTAATAAGTTTTAAATTATATTACTATATATTTTTATATTGTAATATAAATCAATGACATTTTTTTTTAAAAAGAAAATAATAAATTATATAAATAGTTTACTAATTAAAAATATAATTATTACAGGTATTATCGTGTATTACCGTAAATGAATCTTTTTATGAACCGATAGATTGCCACTACAATTGCCCCGATAGTCACATCCGGGCCATTGGCACACAAATGGCTTCAAATTTTTATGACAAATTTCATGTTTGATTAGATGTTGTTTATTTATGAACCGTTTTTCACATTGTGGCCATTGGCACGGGTACGGCCGTTCACCGGTATGCTTACGTGTATGATTATTCAGATCTGTGGTACACGAACACTTGTAGTCGCAACCGGGCCACTGGCACCGGTGCCTTTCGGGTTGATATGATCGATGATATTTCATATTATGGACAATCATTCGATGTTTGGATCGACTATTATAATTATAGAACAGTTGATCGCAACCATCGATACCGCATCCGATCTTTTTGTGTAGATGTCTGCAATTTATGTGCAGTTTTAGTTGTGAGCTATCAAAGTACGATTTGTCGCATTCCGAGCACTGGTAGGTTTTCTGGCGAATCTTGATGTGCACTCTTTTTGTATGGCCTGTCAGCAGTGGCATCCGTTTGAATGATTTGCCGCAATCGGGCTCCGGGCAGACATATGGCTTACAATCGGGTTTATAGTGGACACTCATAAAATGGTTTTTCAGTGACTGTCGACTACAGAATTTGAGTCCACAGCCGCCAAATGGACATAAATAGCGATCAGATTTGTTGTCGTAATTGTTTTGTTTCAGTAGTTGTAACAGTTGTCGTTCGGAATCATTACTGGTGATAGTATTACCGGTCATATTGTTGTTGTTATTGTTATCAATTTGTAGATAATCTTCAATACTTTCGATGTCGTGAATAGTGTTCATATGATTGTATAGTTTTATGGACGTATCGAATGGCATTCCACACCCGGAATCGGGACATACGTATTGTTTGCTATTCAAGTCATAGTATTTTTGATGAAATACCGATACATATTTGTCGTCGAGTACTAAATCATTACCGATTAGCCGATCATCGCTGGCGCTGTTGGTGTCGGTAGTTGTCGTATACATTAACGGATGAATCACTTTATAATGTTTTCTAAGAGCATCTTTGGTCGACATATATTGTCCGCATTCGGAACATTTGAACATCCGGAACACCTTCTTCTGGTTCATGTCGTGTGTCTTCTCGTGTTTTATCCATTTCTTAATCTCAGTAAATGTCTTGTGGCAGACATAGCACTTGTATTCACTGTTTTTATGACACTGACTGTAATGATGATGTAAATGGGCTTTCATTTTGAACCGTTTGCCGCAATCTTCGTGTCGGCAAACAAACGGTCGGTCATCGGTGGCCATACTATTTGTTTGCACCGACAACAATGATGTCTTCCGATTCTTATCATCGCTGATGATGACGATATCATTTACCGTTTGTTTTATTTTTTCATTTAATTCGCTTTTATTGTGATTTGTTTTGTCAGTTTCAAGACTTACTGCAGTATTGTAGTCATCGATGACTGCAGTGTCCATCCATTTCTGTTGTAATGTTTGCCACCGATTTAAATCTTCGGCGTCAATCAGCTCTTCATATTTCTTGTAAACCAAATTCATCTGATCTTTCATTTCAGTCAAACATTTGTTTGTAAACAACAATTCATTGACGAGTCTGTTGTTTTCAGCGGTCAGTTCATCGAACAGATCCTCGACTTCAATACAAACAACCATTGGATCAATTTTGGTGATAATTTTTTCTTTAAAATAAAATAAATACTTTTCTATAGATATGATATTGTTTTCAATCATTTGTCACATAATTATTGTTTACACAAACATAAACAATACATTTTTTTTGTGGGGGACTTTTCATATATTGAAATACAATATTAATAAAATTAAAAAAAACTATTATTATATTCAATATTATTAAGTAATAAATTAAAGTTATATATAAAAAAAAAATTATAGGCTATAAATAATTTATTAAACAAGTTTTCAACGTAATTAGCAAAAAGCAGATAATTTATTAATTGTAAATATTATTATTTATTTATATGTATGTATTATACAATATAATTTATATGTTAATTTATATACAGTATGTTTAATTTAATTAAAGTTTGATATTATTGTGTGAAAGTAATACTAAATTTATAAATACTATTACTAATAATAATATGATACAAATATACAGTGTATAGAAAAATATAATATAATTAGCTATTAGTTGTTAATGTTGTAGTATTAGCTGATTCTTGTTGTTGTTGTTGTCTTTTATGTATTTTTTTGTGTGCATAATAATTGCTACTACTATTGCCCCGGTATTCACAACCGGGCCATTGACATACATAGGGTTTCAAATTTTTATGACAAATCATATGTTTATCGTAGGCTGCCTTCAAACGAAACTGTTTGTCACACTGTGGCCACTGACACATAAACGGTCGCTCACCGGTATGTATACGCGTATGATCTCTCAGATGGGTAACAGTACCGCACCGATACTCACAGCCGGGCCATTGACACGAATGTTTGTCCGGTAGTTTTCTCAGTGAATACTTCATATTGTGAACAGTCTGTCGATGGACTGTCCGCTGATGTATATTAGTAAACATCGACTGGCAGTCATCGATACCACACTTTATTTTTTCATCCATATGTTTGATATTAAAATGATTGGTTAGATCGCATTCATTGAAGTATGATTTGTCACACTGTGAGCACTGGTAGGATTTGCTACGATTTTCATCGTGTGTTTTCATATGTTTATTCAGTGAACTTCGTTTATTAAATCGATTACCACAGTCAGGATGGGTACAACTGAACGGTTTATAATCGGGTTTATAGTGATTGTTGCGAAAGTGAACCTCAAGACTATGTTTATAGCCGTAACTGCGATCACAGCCGACAAATGGACACAAAAATCGTTGTTTTTGGTCGTCAAACGTACAGTTCTTTAACAGTAGTAATAGTTTGCGATCGGATTCGCGAATCGCCGGTAATATTTGGGTATCATTTTCCTGACAAACTTCCTCATCATCTTCAGTGATGGCGTTTTGTCGATGAATTTCCTGATAGTGTTTGTATAGACTTTTGGCGTTACTGTACGGCAGTCCGCAGCCGACTGCAGGACATATGTATTGTCGGGTTTTCAAATCAAAAGTGTTTTGTCTGAACACAGTGTAACCAAAATCAGATCGTCCGGCATCAGTATCGTCGGTTTGGTCCAGACTATTGTACATCAAATGTATGGTCCGCTGGTGTCGCCTAAGACATAGTTTATTAGCAAAACATTTGTCGCATTCCGAGCACTGGTATGATCGGTGACTGTAGTAATGTGTTCTCAAATGATTTGCCAGATGTGCCTTAATTTTGAATGTCTTTTCACACACATGACAGCTGTTGATGACTGTTGTTGTTGTTGTTGTTGTTGATGATGATGTCTCGTGACATCTGCGTGAGTGTTGATTCAATTGGACTTTCAGTTTAAACCGTTGGCCACAATCCTTGTTTAGGCACTCGTATGGCCGGCTCTTGTAGGCATCACATGACTTATTTGTCTTACGTTTACTAGTCTTGAGTTTTGTCTTCAACTTTGACACTTCACTTGTGGTGATAGTTGTCTGAGACAGAGGTTGTACTGACAATTGATTGGTGTCTTCTTCATTGACATCAATGTTGTTATTATTATTTGCCGATTGTTTTTCATCACTTGATTTCCTATTTAAATCAATTTTATTCTTCAGCTTAACTCTTACATTATTATTACTATTGTATTCCTCGACAGTTGTATCCATTGATTGTTGTAATGTCTGCCACTGTTTCATATCTTCGTCGGTAATCATTGTCTCGTATTTCGTGTAAATTGTTTTCAAATAACTTTTCAATTCATTCAATACATTAACAAGTCTTTCATTTTCGGCCAACAATTCACTAAACAAATCGTTGACTTCAATGTCAGCCATCAATGAATCACTTTTAGTAATTGATTTCTTCTTCCTCTTAACCATTGTTTTCAAAATCAAAACAAAAATAATTTACAATTTATTTATCAATGAATTTAAAAAACACATAATAATTGTCAACAAAAAAATTTGGTTTGTTTTGTAAACATAGCACTTGTTTTTTGAGGGGTTTTCACTTTAGTTACTATTTTGTGACATTTCATCACTTATTTTGCAAAACTTATATTTATTTATTAAAAAATAGTATTATTATTATATATTTTGTTTGATAACTTATCAATGATAAGTAAAGATAAAAATTTTATTAATAATTATTTTATCTATTATATACATACAGTATATACAAATTTAGTTTAATTATAATATATATTTTAAAATAAATATTTTAGTAAATATTAACGAAATAAACTATAAATGAAATAAAATATGCTATAAGACTACTATTATATTGAAAAATTTCAATTTAAAATATAAATATAAATAATAATATATTCATATAAATTTAATATACAATTAGCTATTATTAATTGGTTTTATCTTTATTGTAGTATTAGCTGATTGTTGTTGTTGTTGTTGTCTTTGATGTATCTTTTTGTGTGCATACAGATTGGCACTACTATTGCCCCGATAGTCACAACCGGGCCATTGACATACATATGGCTTGAGATTTTGATGACATATAACGTGTCGTTTGAGACAAGATTTGCTAGAAAATCGTTGTTGACAGTCTGGCCACTCGCACCTGTACGGCCGTTCACCCGTATGCTTACGGTAGTGATTCTTAAGATGACAAGCTGATTGACTACGAATCTCGCAACCGGGCCAGTCACACAAAAAGTTGCCCGGCTTATTACGGTCGGCATATTTCATATGATGTACTTGTTGTCGATGGATTGACCGATGATGGTCACGGGTGAACATTGTTGTACAACCATTTATACCGCACTTAAATTTTTTCTTTAAGTGTATAATATTAATATGTTTGGTTAGATCGCATTTATTTATGTATGCTTTGTCGCATTGTGAGCACTGGTAGTTTTTGGTACGGTTTTCATTGTGTGTATAAATATGTTTATTAAATGTAGCCCTTTTGTCAGTTCGATAATTGCAATCGGGATGCGGACAACTAAACCGTTTGGTGTATGGTTTGTAGTGATAGTTGCGAAAGTGTTCATCAAGCATATGTTTAGTTCGGTAACTTCGGTCGCAGTCAGTAATTGGACACAAAAATCGTTGAGTTTTATGATCAATCGTACAGTTCTTCAACAATAACAATAGTTTCCGATCCGATTCGCAAATATCGGACAACGATTTCCTATTACTTTGCGGATAAACTTTTTCTGCCACTTTGACAGTTCCAGCAATTTGTCGATGAAATTTCCGATAGTGTCTGAATAGTCTCAATGGTGTAGTGTATGGCAGAGCACATCCGACAGCTGGACATATGTACTGTTGGGTTATCGAATCATAGGTTTTTTCTAGAAACAAATCGTCCACATAATAATCAGATAGTCGGTCATCAGGATTACCGGTTTGATTGTTGTGTTGGACACCGCTATGAATTGTCTTGAGTTTTGGCAATTCATTTGTGATGGCAGTTGTCTGCAAATAGAAAATTTCTCCTTCTTCTAATTGATTATCGGTTGAGTCGTCACTGATATCAATCACATTATCATTAGTTTCTGACTTAATTATGTTGTCAATTGAATCCTGTAGTCTGTCATCAGTATTGTCAGCGTATTGATTGTTGTCTTGGATTTCAAACTTCGTGTTACTTTTATGACTTGTCTCGGGTTTTGGCGTTTCATTTGTGGTCAAAGTTAGCATTTCTTCTTCTTCTTCTTTGTCATCTTCATAATTGATTTCCTCATTGTCTTCATTGATATCACAATCATAATCACTATTTTCTGATTGTTTGTCATCAATTGAATCGTTTAGTCCGGATTTGTCATGGATTTGGTTTATATTATCATTAGTTAAACGTTTGGCTTTTGTGTTTTGCCAAAGAGATAGCTTATTGTACAGAAACTTGTTGTACGGCCGGCTCTGGTAGTCATCCAACAGATTACTTGTATTACTATTATTAGTTTTGTCGCTAGAATTTGCTTCTGGCTCTTGAATACTAGTGGTGACAGTCGTCTGACACAGAGGTTGTACTGACAATTGATTGGTGTCTTCTTCATTGACATCAATGTTGTTATTACTATTTGCCGATTGTTTGCCATCAATTGATTCCCGATTTAATTCATTATTTTTCTTCGGTTTAACAACTCTCAGACTATCATTACTATTGTATTCTTCGACAGTTGTATCCATTGATTGTTGTAATGTCTGCCACTGTTTGATGTCTTCGTCGGCAATCATTGTCTCGTATTTCGTGTGAATTGTTTTCAAATAACTTTTCAATTCATTCAATACATTAACAAGTCTTTCATTTTCGGCCAACAATTCACTAAACAAATCGTTGACTTCAATGTTAGCCATCAATGAATCACTTTTAGTAATTGGTTTCTTCTTCCTCTTAACCATTGTTTTCAATCAAAACGAAAATTAATTAACAATTTATTTATCAATGAATTTATAAAAACACATAATAATTGTCAACAAAAATATATGTTATGTTTTGTAAACATAACAATTATTTTTGAGGGGTTTTCAATTCATTTACTATTTTGTGAAATTTCATCACATAGTTTGTAAACTAACAGTAATAATAATTATTTATTATATTAGATATTAAATTATTATATATATATCTTTTAATAAATAAATGTAAAAATTAATAATTATTTTTATCTTTAATATCATTAATATACAAATTTAGTTTAATTATAATATATATTTAAAAATAACTATTTTAGTAGATATTAACCAAATAAACTATAAATTAACAAAAATTATGTTACGGTAAGACTACTACAGTATTAAAATATAATAATTCAATTTATATGAATTTACAGTACAATTAACTATTACCGTAATAATAATAATAATAATAATAGGTTTTGTCTTTATTGTATTATTATTATCTGATTGTTGTTGTTATTATTGTCTTTGATGTATCTTTTTGTGTGCATAATAATTGCTATGACAATTGCCCCGATAGTCACAACCGGGCCATTGACATACATATGGCTTGAGATTTTGATGACATATAACGTGTCGTTTGAGACCAGTTTTGCGTGCAAATCGTTGTTGACAGTCTGGCCACTCGCACCGGTACGGCCGTTCACCCGTGTGCTTGCGGATGTGATCCCTAAGATTGGTATCTGATGTACTACGATAGTCGCAACCGGGCCATTGACATATATACTTGGCCTGCTTAGTGCGGTCGGCATATTTCATATGATGTACTGATTCTCGATGAAGTATCCGACTATGGCAAGTGGTAAACATTGTCGTACAACCATTTATACCACATTTAAACTTTTTCTTTAAGTGTTTAGTATGTATATGTTTGGTTAGATTGGATTTACTTAGGTATGATTTGTCGCATTCTAAGCACTGGTAGTTTTTCGTACGGTTGACATTGTGTATCTCTATATGTATATTATATAAATCTCGTCTATTTGTACGATAATTGCAATCGGGATGCGAACAACTAAACCGTTTGGTGTGTGATTTGTAGTGATTATAGCGAAAGTGTTTCTGAAGAATGTGTTTAGTTCGGTAACTTCGGTCGCAGTCAGTAATTGGACACAAAAATCGTTGGGTTTTATCATCGATCGTACAGTTCTTCAACAATAACAATAGTTTGCTATCGGATTCGCAAATATTGGACAATGATTTCTTATGTTGATTACTTGTATTACTACTAGTCTCGACGTTAGAATCTGCTTCTGGCTCTTGAATACTAGTGGTGACAGTTGTCTGACACAGAGGTTGTGCTGGCAATTGACTGATGTCTTCTTCATTGACATCAATGTTGTTATTATTATTTCCGGATTGTTTGCCATCAGTTGATTCCTTATTTAAATGAATCTCTTTCTTCAGTTTAATAACTCTCAGACTATAATTACTATTGTATTCCTCGACAGTTGTATCCATTGATTGTTGTAATGTCTGCCACTGTTTGATGTCTTCGTCGGCAATCATTGTCTCGTATTTCGTGTGAATTGTTTTCAAATAACTTTTCAATTCATTTAATACATTAACAAGTCTTTCATTTTCGGCCAAAAATTCACTAAACAAATCGTTGACTTCAATGTAAGCCATCGATGAATCACTTTTAGTAATTGGTTTCTTCTTCCTCTTAACCATTGTTTTTAAATCAAAACAAATTAATTAACATTTTATTTATCAATGAATTTAAAAAACACATAATAATTGTCAACAAAAATATATGTTATGTTTTGTAAACATAACAATTATTTTCAGGGGTTTTCACTTTATTTACTATTTTGTATTATTTAATCGCTTATTTGCAAAACAGTATTACAAAAAAATATATATAAAGTTTATATTAAAACAATAATTAACATAAAAATTGTAATTTTCAATCTTTAGATCCATAAAAATTTTATAAATTATTTTTTTTTATTAATATTTATGTATATATTAAAGATACTTATGTTTTTACAGACACTTTATCTTAACTTATTTTAAATTATACACATGTTTTGTGTTTGAAAAAAAATTATTATGTGTACTAATGAATTAAATTGAATAATTAGTGGAAACAATAATCAAAATATTAAATTAGTTGAAACTGAAGTTATATTAAAAATAAATAAATCATTAATTTATTATAAATGAAAAAGAAAATAATAAGTTATTATTATATTATGGTTACGGTATTATTAAGATATCAATCATTTAAAATTTACAATTTGGTACCAATAATAACGAATATTACCGGTAATTATGAAGTTTTATTTATTTATTACAAAATTTAAAACTAATCAGCCGTCGGTATTGTAGTATCAGCTTCTGATTGTTGTTGTTGTTGCTCCTGTTGTTGTTGTCTTTGATGTATCTTTTTGTGTGCATACAGATTGGCACTACAATTGCCCCGATATTGACAGCCGGGCCACTGGCAGACAAATGGTTTTAGATTTTTATGACACGTAACGTGTCGTTTGAGATCAGCTTTCCGTGCAAATCGTTGTTCACAGTCTGTCCACTCGCACTCGTACGGCCGTTCACCAGTATGGATACGGGTATGGTCTCTCAGATCGCCAGTGGACGAACACTTGTAGTCGCAACCGGGCCACTGGCACTGGTGTTTATCGGGTATATACTTTTTGGCGTAATTCATATTGTGTACAGATTTTCGATGAGTAGATCGCTGGTCAAAGTTATAGAATCGGTGATCGCAACCATCGATACCGCATCGGATCATCTTTTTGTTTAGATGTCTGAAATTTGTATGAAGTGTTAGTTCGGCTCTAGTAAAGTATGATTTGTCGCATTCCGAGCATTGGTGGTCTCGCTTACGATTGGCATCGTGTGTTACCCGATGTCGTCGGAGCATAACTTTTGTCTTGAATCCCTTACCGCAATCGGGTTCGGGACAAACAAACGGTTTGCGATCCGGTCGATAGTGCATCCGAATGAAGTGCTGTTCATAGTATTTATTTGTACCGAAATTACTGTCACAGCCGGGATAGGGACAAACAAATCGTTGCGTAGTCTCATCGAAACGATTTTGTTTCATCAGTAGTAACAGTTGCCGATCGGCTTCAGAATTATCGGCTGCGGCGCTGCCAAACACTTGATCGCCGCCTCCGCCACCAACGCCACTGTTGCCGCCATCACTTTGTACTAAACAATCGGCTAAACCTTGTTTGCCGTGAACTTCTTTCATATGATTGTAGAGAGCGGTAGCGTTATTGTACGGCAATCGGCAGCCGGAATCGGGACATATAAACTGTTTGGTTTGCTTATCAAAGTATTTGCGTCTGAATTCGGTCATTTCGTCATTGGATTCGATGACATCCATGGACAGTGATGTATCACCACCGCCGCCTCCGCCGGTTTGTTGGTCATCACCACTACAACCATCAGCGACGCCAACACCACCACCACCACCAGTGGTGATCATAAAGTGCATCTTTTCCAGATGTTTCTTCAGTATCATTCTGCTCGACAAATATTTGTCACATTCAGAACACTTGAACGTCTTCTTTCGCAGCTCATGAGTGGCCAAATGTTTTGTCCATTTGTTGATTTCTGTAAACCGTTTCTGACATACGTCGCACACATACTCGCCGTTCTTATGAAACTTGCCGTAGTGTACATGCAATGCAATCTTCAATTTGAATCGTTGGCCACAGCCCTGTTGTCGGCAAACGTACGGATAGTTTTGTGCATTTCGTACGGCTTTACCCATATGTGTCGTCAAGCGGCTAATGGCCACGTCTTTTGATCGGATAATAGTTGTCGTTTTTATCGTATTGTTGCTGTCGTCCAGCGATTGTTGCAATTGTTTCCATTTAGTCATATCTTCGGCAAATATAAACGGTTCGTATTTCTTGATCAACCAATTCATCTGATCTTTCATTTTGTTAAGCGTTTGGTTTTCATACAACAATTGACTGTTGATATACTGATTGTCTTTATTACTCTTTGATAGTAGTGATGGTGATGATGATGATAAAGTCTTTCGCCGAGTTTTAGTCTTATTATTATTATTATTGGTATTATCATTACCGCCGATGATATGACTAAATGCTTTCTTAATGTCTTGACTTAGATTTCTATTGAATTCTCTGGTCTTCACGTTATTGATCTTCAAGTGACTAAACGAACACATAGTAAATCCGTCGACAGTTGTGTCCACCGATTTCTGTAATGTTTGCCATTGGCTGATATCTTCGGCCTGAATATGTTCTTCATATTTCTTGTGAACCAAATTCATGTGATCCTTCAGTTCGGTCAACAAATTCAGACATTTGTTTGCAAACAACAATTCATTGACCAGTCGTTTGTTTTCGGCCATCAGTTCATCGATTACATCGTCGACATCGATATTATTGTTGTTGTTAGACATGTTGTGGTTTGGATCAGCTGTTGTTTTGACGGTCACCTCTTCTACTGTATTATCCATTTGTTTGGTTTTGTTTTAAATTCATTAATTCAATCAATAAATAAAATAATTATCACTTTATATATCAATCAATCAATCAATGAATTGTTAATACAATTAACACAACATTTAATATAAAATATTTTTTTTTGAATCATTTGTCACAAAATTATTACAGTATTTATATTATAAACATAAACAACACATTTTTTGGGGGGCTTTTCATATATTGAAAAAAAATCAAAACGTTTTGTTTGATTATTAACTTAACAAACTTTAATATAAGTTTATTTATGATTTTATAATAATATTAGTTTTAAAAAACAATATTTTAATCAATAATAATAATTATTACACATTTTGTTTGTTTGATTTCTACTTTAATATTAAATATCAAATATGATTAAAAGAAAAATAAACTAATTAAATAAATTATATAATATAATTAGAAAAAATACTATAATACAATTTATAACAATAATAATAATAATACCGGTACTAATAATAATAACAAATTATGATGATATACCGGTATGTTTTTTATGTACACATTTTGTATGATTAACAATATTTCCATAACAAGTGGCCCGGTATTCACAACCCGGCCATTGGCATCCATAGGGCTTAACATTCAGATGATAGTTATAGTGTTCCCTAAAGTCAGCTCTATTGCGAAATCGTTTGCCACATTCAGGCCAATCGCAACCGTACGGCCGTTCGCCGGTATGTATGCGAGTGTGTAATGCAAGCAATGGTTTTTTTGTTGTCTTGTACTCACACCCGGGCCACTGACACGGATAGTCGCCTAGTGTTACCTTAATCGGTGCGTATTTGAAATTATGAACAGACATCTTGTGTTTTCTTCGTTGCGAATAATTTTTGAATATTTCGTCGCAACCGTCGATATCGCAGCGCAACTGATTGACCAGTGAATGATTGAATCGTCGGTGATTGGCCAGTGTTCTATCGCACAGATACGACTTTCCACATTCCGGGCACCGATAGGTTGGCCGATTGGTGGCGTGTATAGTCTGATGGAGTTTCAGTTTGCATTGGGTTTTGAACGCCTTTCCGCAGTCTGGCTCCTGACAAACGTACGGCGAGTCCGATGAATGCGATAACAAATGCCTTCTCAAATGCTTTCTCTGGATATACTGTTTGTCGCAGCCGTCGTAATGGCAAACATATCGTCGGACCAATCGTTCCTGTTTTCGCCGATGAGATGCCGAGTGTCGGTTCAAACGCTTGATTGTTGCAAACGACTTATTGCAGTCTAAATGATTGCAAACATGTTTTTTCAGTCTGCAGTGAACATCGTAACAATGATTGTATAGTTGTCGCTGAGTTGGGAAGTGTTTGTTGCAATCGGGTTTCGGACATAAATGTTGGCCACTAATCGGATCTAAATTGCCTTTCTTTGCCAACAATAGCCAATTTGGATCGCCATCAGTGGTGGCGGTCTTCTGATCTGCAATTCTTTGACTAACTATTGTCGTTGACTTATCAATTGATTCGCTTTCTTCAATAGTATTACTTATCAGTCTATCGGCGATTGTTTTGTTGACAGTACTTGACGTGTCCTCCGGTTGCCAACAACCGTCGTCATCGTCGTCACCAATGCTGTCCTCCTCAGCCACCACATCATCGGCGTCACAACAATCGGTATCATCTGATATGTCGGCATCACTTTGTGATAAATCTATTGACACTACTTCTGCTGTTTTAACGGCAATTGTCTTAACAGTCTTGACATTAGAAGCTGTAGTCTTCAAATTGGGAACTGCTGTGTGAACTGTTGTACTAGTTGTTGTTGTCGTACACGGATCAGCTAGTGATGAACTGATCTGATCGTTGGATTTATTTACACCACCGATGATGATATGATTAAACGCTTGTCTAATGTTATCAGTTAATTGTCTTTCTTTGCCAATTGTTTTGACTTCAGTTTTATGTCTTGTATTGTTGTTGTTGTTGTGGTCATCAATGGCTGTAATCATTGATTGCTTGAATGATTGCCACTGTTTATACTCTTTGGCTGTAATATAGTCTTCATATTTCTTGTGAATCAATTCCATGTGATCTTTGATTTCATTTAATAAATCTAAACATTTGTTTGTAAACAACAATTCATTGACGAGTCTGTTGTTTTCAGCGGTCAGTTCATCGATCAGATCCTCGACTTCGATGTTAACAACTATTGGATCAGTTTTGGTGATTCTTCTTCTGATTGTTTTACGAACCATTATTTTTCTGTTTTTTTTATAATTTAACAAAATATTTATTGAATTTTTATTTAACCATTTAATTCAATAATAAGCAATAATTAATGATAACATTTATGATATAATGAAAACAATAATATAAAGTAATAATAATAATAATAATAACATACTTTTTTGAGGGATCTTTAATATATTGTATTAAAATAAAATACTGCATTAAATATTGAAGTAAAATGTAATTAAAATTATATTAATTATAAACTAGTTTTACCCGCGCAACATGTATAGTATTGCATACTCTTACTAATTGCTTAACAAAATTCTTTATAATGAGACCTATAGATATACATATACAATAGTCAACTACAATTATAATTCTGATTATAAATGACTATTTTGCTATATTTATGCTATCCATATAAACGTCTATAAAAAAAGTTCGCGCTATTAAAAATTGATGATTTTTTTGCTATAATGTTGTATACATGTACAGTTACAATATATGTAAAAATAAATTTACGCAATCAAGAGAAACGTCTTTGAAACTGTTAAGCAATATTAAAATTTTTTAGTTAAAATGTAGAATACATATGTAGTTAAAATCTAAGTAAAAATAAATTTATGCTATCCATATAAACGTCTATAAAAAAAGTTCGCGCTATTAAAAATTAATGATTTTTTTGTATAATGTTGTATACATGTAAAGTTACAATATATGTAAAAATAAATTTACGCAATCATAAAAAACGTCTTTGAAACTGTTAAGCAATATTAGAATTTTTATTTTTTTAGTTAGATTGTAGAATACATATGTAGTTAAAATCTAAGTAAAAATAAATTTACGCAATCAAGAGAAACGTCTTTGAAACTGTTAAGCAATATTAGAATTTTTTAGTTAAAATGTAGAATACATATGTAGTTAAAATCTAAGTAAAAATAAATTTATGCTATCCATATAAACGTCTATAAAAAAAGTTCGCGCTATTAAAAATTAATGATTTTTTTGTATAATGTATACATGTAAAGTTACAATATATGTAAAAATAAATTTACGCAATCATAAAAAACGTCTTTGAAACTGTTAAGCAATATTAGAATTTTTATTTTTTTAGTTAGATTGTAGAATACATATGTAGTTAAAATCTAAGTAAAAATAAATTTATACTATCCATAAAAACATCTATAAAAAAAGTTCGCGCTATTAAAAATTGATGATTTTTTGGTATAATGTTGTTTACATATACAGTTACAATATATGTAAAAATAAATTTACGCAATCAAGAGAAACGTCTTTAAAACTGCTTATCAATATTTATAATTTTTTATTTTTAGTTATATTGTATAATTCTTATGTAGTTACAATATAATGGAAAATAAATTTATGCTATCAATAAAATCGTCAATAAAAAAAGTTCGCGCTATTAAAATTTGATGATTTTTTAGTATAATGTTGTTTACATATACAGTTACAATATATGTAAAAATAAATTTACGCAATCAAGAGAAACGTCTTTAAAACTGTTATCAATATTTTTAATTTTTAATTTTTAGTTATATTGTATAATTCATATGTAGTTACAATATAATGGAAAATAAATTTATGCTATCAAAAGAAACGTCTTTAAAACTGCTTATCAATATTTAAAATTTTATTTTTTTTATTGTAGAATACATATGTATTTACAATATAAATTAAGACTTGAATCTGATAATTTACGCGTAACACAATCAATAGAAACGTCTTTAAAACTGTTTATCAATATTTATAATTTTTTATATTGTAGAATAGAATACATATGTAGAAACACTCGATTTTTAATATAAACTCGAGATTAATATTGAATAAATATTTACATAAAATACATTTTCATGAAAAAAGATATTGTTTAACATTAATAATTAATAATTAAATATATTTAACAATTCTAATAAATCACGTGATTTAATAAATATTTAATAAACACGTGAATTAAAAATTTAAAAAATACTATTAAAACAGTTTATCTCAAAAACAGTTAATTTTTGTTATTAACAAATTATACTTCGTTTCCTTATCTTATTGGATCTACTAATCATTTATGACCAGTGATATAAATTTAGAGATGGATGACATTGATATGATATCATTGAATTCCGTAGATTTCAATGATGAAGAATTCAATGAAGACAACATAGAAGTGAATCAATTATTTAATGAGATAGAAATGCCTGTTTTTATGGAAATGTCTGATGAATGCAAAGATGAACAGTTTGTTCTCGATGTTCTCAATGAATGTGACAACGGTTTTGATGATGAAGAAGAGTTCGATCATTTGATGTTACAAATGCCAATAAAACAGCTGATCAACTCTTCGATAATGTATTCAAAAGATGTTAACAACAATTCGAATCCCGAGACGACTAAAGCCAGTTCACTACAACTTAATTTGATTTCCGTTAATTTTAATGATGGCATTAAAGAAGATCAACAATTTGTTGAGATCCCAGAGATTGAGATCCCAGAGATTGAGATCCCAGAGATTGAGATCCCAGAGATTGAGATCCCAGAGATTGAGATCCCAGAGATTGAGATCCCAGAGATTGAGATCTTCGAGATTTATATTCCAGAGATTAAGATCCCAGAGAATGAGATCCCAGAGATAGAGTTAATCAATGATAAGTGCCAAAGAGATCAGTTGGTCGACGATGTTACCAATGAATGGGAAAATGGTTTCGAGGATGAGGAAGAGTTTGATAAATTGATGTCAGATATCCAAATACAACATTTGATCAATACGTTTATAATAAATTCAAAAGATGTTAACACCAATTCAAGTCTGGAAACGGTTAAAGACTTTACACAACCACTCGTACAAAATTCGGATCATTTCATAGTTAGTAATGAAATCAATCACCCGTTCAATGAGAAACCCCAAATTTCAATAGAATTAAACCCACCTGTTTGTATGGAATTGTCCGATAATCCGATAACGGATCAGTTGGTGATGGAAGACAACTATGAATGTGATGATTTCGATGATGAAGAAGAATTTGAACATATGCTATCTCTAATTCAGGCTCCTGTCATGATTAATCAGCCCTCAAATATGATGTCATTGTCTCAAATTATGGAGGCCATCAACTCTGATGATGAATGAAGGAAAGCATTACTTAATAGCACATTTATTATATATGAATTCATTATTGTTATTTTTAGTTTATTTTTAGTATTACAATTTCTTTAAAATATTCATTTGTTACAGAATATAATATATATAAATTTTTGTTTCAGTATTTTATTTTAAATTTTTAAAATTAATAAATTGTTTTTATTTAATAATTCGCTACAACATCCACTTTGATTTTAATAATCTAAAAAGTTTATTAGATAATTTACTAAATGTAATAACAATAATTTTATATAAAAATAATTATATAAAATTGTTTTATTTTTTCAATATTGTCGAATACATTTATCAAATGTGACAAAAAAGACATACATACAAAACTATTATTTTAAAGTGTTAACTTTATATATAAAATTATTGCAAATATAATTTATTTTTTATAAAAATTTAATAAATCGCATAATTATTAATAACTATGTTATGATTATTTATTTGATTTTACATTTTTATATATATTTTACGTTAGATAAATAGTAATTAATTTTATCGAAAGAAAATTTTTTAGTTTTTGTGGAATATTATATCATTAACGATTAATAAATTTAAGAATTTTTGTTATTTAAAAATAATTTATTATATAAAAATAGCACGCTTTTTTGCTTGGGTCGCATCCAATCATCACATTTTTGATATTCCTGATAGTGTTGCAACAGGCCATATTGATATTTAAATTATAATTTTTTTAACGCAACAGAATTTAAAACAATTTTGGGAAATATTATAATCTAACAATTGTATAGAAGTGAAAATCTTCTTCAATACTCGGTAAATGCAGTCCCAATCATTTTCATTTTGGTCTCCAAACGTCAAATTAATGTAACGGTTGTGTGGTAATGGCGATGTTACTATAATATTGTGTGGTCTTTTACTCTTGACTAAATTTGGAGTTAACGGGTCAAAATAAAAATCTTGTAAAATAATAATAAAATGTAAAAAAAAATAATATTTATGAATTTTTCGAAGATCTTCATCTAATTCTTTACATTTTTGATGAAATATTCGTATAATAAGATCTTGTCTGTCGTTAGCTGTTTCTCCAGATCCTAATTCTCGTGTGATTTCAGGCCATTTTGGATTGCATGTGAATGTAATAAATAAAGATGGCTTTCCATACTGGGAAACAATTGACATCGCGTCGTGATATTTGAGATTCATAGCTCATAGACATAGCGTTTATTAAATATTTATTAAATTACGCGATTATTAAATATTTATTAAATCACGCGATTTATTAAAATTGTTATGTATTTAATGATAAATAATAAATAAACAAATTATTTTTCTCGTGCAATAATTAAATTAATACAATTTAAAAATTATATAATTTTTGAAAAAATTGAAAATTTTAATACAAATTGAAAATTTTTGCATTTGAGAAAATTTTACAAAAATTTAGCACAGGTAGCTAACCTCCCGGTGCCCTATGACTCATATAATATAGTAAAATGTAATTCCACAATACCTGCCTCTTTGTCCTCAAAATCTACTTGACCTCAATAATCATTTAAAATTTCCCATAGAAATAACATTGCTTTCAATAAAAAATGAAAATAAAACAATACATTTTTACATTTGAATTAAAATATGGTTGTTGATGAAATGTGCACGCATACAGACAGACAGACAGACAAACAAACAGACAAAACAAATGTCTTAAAATGTTATCTTGATGAATAATTTTTAAAAAAATTTAATATAAATTTTAATCATAGAAATTTAATTACCGGTAATTAATTTTTATTTATTGTTATACAATAATAACTTTTTATTTATTTATTTAAATAACTTATTAGCTTTTAAATTTCAAGATTATAAATAAAATATTTTATCAATTATATAAGAAAATTTATCAATTACCGATAATCACATTAAAAAAATTGTTAATTTTATTGCAAAAATAAATTAATATAAAAACTTAATTATCAAATTAGATTATTAATAATATAAACGTTAGAAGTTACTAACCTATAAAAGTTAAAATAAAAAATTTATTAATTTAAAAAACACTATTAAAACATTTTATTTAATATCTTATATTTTCAATATATATTTATAACAAAATGATTTTTCAACAAATATTTCTATATAACACCGGCATCTTTAGCCAATGAATAGAAAATTGTTGTCCGATCATTGAGTAGAGCATCGGGTTCGGCAAACTCGGCTACCCGTCCATTGTTTAGTACTAACACACGATTATAGTCCATAATTGTATTGATTCGGTGAGCAATTGTTAAGATAGTAGAGGACTTGAACTCTTGTTTAATGGTTTGCTGTATGAGTGCATCAGTTTTGACATCGACGGCAGCCGTGGCCTCATCGAGGATAAGGACGCGAGTGTTGCGGAGCAGAGCCCGAGCCAGACATATAAGTTGTCGCTGACCGACACTTAGGTTATCACCCGATTCGGCTACCGAATAGTCGAGTCCCGATCCGCTTGAAATAACAAACTCTTTGAGATGTGAGTGTTCTAACACTGTCCACAATTCTTCATCAGAAAATTTGTCGAACGGATCCAAATTGGAGCGAATGGTTCCCGAAAAGAGTATCGGTTCTTGTGGTATGATTGTCAACCGTGATCTCAACTCATGGAGACCGAGTTTACTGATATCTATGCCATCAATAACAATGCGACCCATTGCTGGCTCAATGAGTCGAAACAGTGCCAAAGTTAGTGACGACTTTCCGGCACCGGTTCGGCCAACTATTCCTATCTGGTGTGAAATAAAATGCATATTATATCATATAATTTATATCTATAGACTACTGTATATCGTATATTACTGTAGATATTAATTATTTTATAATCATTAATACCTTTTCGCCGGAGTTTATATTGACATCAATATTATTGAGTACTAAATCCAATCCTTCCCTATATCGAGTACCGTATCCATCGAAATGCATGTTTCCATTCTCTGGCCACTCTTCGGGTAGTTTTTGGTTTGACTGCCAATCAGCTTCCGGTTCTAGAGAACAGTATTCATCGATTCTTTCGATTGAAACCATATTATTTTCTAACATTGAGAATGTCATAATCAAACCGTTTAGATTTCCTGTTAATGTCAAGGCGTACGACAGGGACAGTCCTATTTGGCCGCCGGTCAGCCGTCCCTTTGATAGTATAGAAAACAGTGCGGCAAAAAGTATTAGACAATTGCTTAATGTTGTCAACCATATCTGTAGCCAACTGTTGGCCACAATATTAGGATAGAAACACATCTGATTGGTATCCACTCGATGATCGGATTCACCGATAAACTGTTGGCCGTAACCATACGCTCTAATACTGGACATACCGTTTAGTGTTTCGCTAAAATGCGAATATATTGGCGATCGGGTTAACGACTCTAATCTATAAAATTATTATATTTAGAAATAATATTATTATTAATATTCAGCAAATTAAATATTTTATTATTTTATTAGTTATTTTTATCTATGATATCAACAACAAAAACAACAAATAAAAATACCGTTTTAGTTGTCTAGAAGTTTTAATGTAAATAATCTATTAAAAAAATTAATTAAAAATTTATATCTATAAATAAAACTAATAATTTATTGTTATTCTAGGCTAACTTACTTGTATTATATAATAAATAACGGGTAGCACTGCTACAGGTATTAAAAACAACGGTGTTTGTATCGATACTGTAATAATTGTGCCAATAATTTGCAATGCATTATCATATAAGCCGCTAAATAAAATTGATAATATTTTTTATTAAATATATTATATAAGTTATAAAAAATATTATTTTTTTAAATAAATAAATTATATCTTGATTTTCCAAAATAAATTATATATATATATTAATATAATGTAAATAATTGAACCTAATATTCATTACTAGTCCTATATCCAAAACATCTATATCGTTGCCAAACCGGTTCATCAAACGGCCCATTGGTGTCGTATCAAAATATTTCATAGGCGCGTGCATTACTGTCGACAACAATTTTGTGTGCAAATTTCGTGAAGCCATTTGACAACCGATAACTAATAACAGTTTGCTAATTGACAAAAATATTGTTGTAAACAATATAATGATGCCATATATACCAACATAATAATAGTTATTATTATTATTATTATTATTATTATTGTCGCCAATAAGATTATTGCTCCAAAGGGACAGCCAAAAACTTGAGCCATACATGAGTATGTTTGTGATAATACCGGTGATTAGGATACCCAACGTATAGTGTCCAACATATTTGGCGTATTTAATATAGATCTGGATGATTAAAATCAGAGATTTATAATATAAAATAATATATAATTATATAAATAAAAATTTACACCAAAAAATTAAATAATTATATATATATAAATAAATAATTATATACATTAAATTTAACTTGACCAATTTGGGCAATTTCTTCATCAATTAATTTGCAATTATTGTCGACAATAGACGTATTATTGATTTCCCGTTCATACCGTTGCAAAATAATTTCCGACTCACTATTATTGTTATTATTATTATCGGGTTCACCAATAATTTTACAATTTATATTATCTACACTATTACTACTGCTATTTGAATTTAAATTGCTATCAACACTATCACAATTAGTAGCATAATATTGTTGTATTAAATCGGAAAAATATCTATTATTTGCCAACAATTCATTGTAAGTGCCAATTGCAGTGATTGATCCGTCTTTGATAACAACTATGCGGTCGACATCGGGTAACATAAATAGTTGATTTGTTACCAAAATACGAGTTTTGTGCCGCAAAATACCAGTTCGCGAATCGAGTACTTGATCTACAATGTGTTTACCCACATGACTGTCCACTGCTGATAACGGGTCGTCTAATAAGTATAGATCGGCACCGGAATATACGGCTCGGGCCAAACTTACTCTTTGTTTTTGACCGCCACTCAAATTGATACCTTTTTCGCCGATCTCTGTTTCATCGGCACCGGGCAATTGTTGTAAATCCTGTTTGAGCGCACAGTTATCTATAACTCTATTATAAAGTTTAGTATTCAACTGTTTTCCAAACAGAATATTCTGTTTGAGTGTCGTATTCTGAATCCATGACTGTTGGGGAACGTATGCTATGCTTATATCTGGCCTAATATTTACGGTACCATCAATTAGATCCATATCACCAAATAGGGCCGATATCAATGAACTCTTACCGGAACCGACATTGCCGACAATGGCCACAAACATGCCGTCCTCGACTGTCATGTTAATATTTTTTAATATGTTTTGTCTAGTAGTAGTAGCACAGGTAGTAGTATTAGTACTCTTATTCCATGAAAACATTGCATTTTCTATATTAATAACTGTTTGTTTATTTGCCATTGTATTAGTTGTTATATAATTTTTATGTTCATCGCAATTCAGGAATCGTTCAATACGTTTAAATGAAACAATTAACTTTATAATTAAATATAATGAATTATTTTATATCAGTATATAAAGTATATTATATTGGTTATGCAATATTAAATACATACAAACGAAAAAGTTAGATAAGCAATGGGCAATGAAAACATGCTTTCACGTAAAAAATTAAACAACGATAACGAGACAAATATTTTTTGGGCACTCAATTGTTTGCCGGTATCACTATTGATGACTTCATAGACACTGTAAGTAATAAACTGGACAACCAATGGACAGCTGAACGACAGGACTATGAATATGACTATTAGGTAACCCATTGTTTGTAATTTTCGTAACTCTTTTCGGCGTATTTTGGTTATGCAGCCCATGAACGCCTCCTCCCAGGCGTACAGCTATTATATATATATATATATACCATAAAGATTAGTAGAAAAAATATAGTTATTGAGAAAAAACATTAAAAAAATTTTTAGTTTAATTTTTTTAGTAATCTGCTTTAGATAAATTGGTATTAATTAATATATATATATATATATTTTTTTTATAATACAATATTACTGTGTCTTTGTGTTTAAGCGGGTGGGTGGGTGATTGGGTGTGTAAATAAAATAATAATAATACTTTTAACACTTTGATTCCGTTGAATATTTGGTTCATTAAATTAATTCTTTTGTCTTTAATTTTCATTTGTTGGCTTTGATTTAGTTTACAAAAATACAGTGCAATTGTATTGATGACTAGTGTGACCACTATAACGGCCAAACCGATAAACGCTGTGACACCCAATTGCACGTATAATAAATACAATGTTATGGCAATCTGTATGGGAGCGGACAACAGTGCTATCAGGTAATGGAGATTATCTGCGAAACAAATGTCAAATTAATTTTATTTTTAAAAAAAATAATGTTTTCAGTAACTCATACCCAAAGAAAAAGTCTGCTTAAAAATTGTGTGTATGTCTCCTCCCACTTATCACGCAAACAGTGTAGTAATAGCTACAGTACAGCAGTAACTGTTACTACACTGTTTGCGTGATAAGTGGGAGGAGACATACACACAACTGCAAAATTGACAGGACCTCTGCTCATACCTAAAAAATAAATAAATACTAACCACTAATTCGTTGGCAATCAATGGCCATCAGATTAATAATTTCTCCGTTAGGTGTTTGCCGTTTGGCACCGTTGCTCAGTACCAATGATTTACGATATATGGCCGATATTAGACACGATCGCATACGTAAACCTTTTTTAATTAATTATATTTTGTTAATCATTTTATCAATTTATTATTATAATAATATTATGTTTAAAAAAACAATAAACATACCAATACTGCCAATATGTTCATTATAATTAGCCAATACAATGGCCACTAAAACATTTACAGTCACTAATAGTATAGTGTATACATAGCCGTGCCATTGAGGCTCGTTAGGGTCTTCAATATAATTAATTATTAAGCTAAAAGTTATTATTTTTAAAATAAAATTTTTAAGTACATAAATTCAATAATAATAATAATTATTATTATTAATAAATTAGTATCATAGTTAAATAATTTATATTGCATGTATATTTAGAATATTTATATTACTCCTATAACCTTGTTTAAAAATATAATTTATTACAGTATTATAAATGACAGTAAATTAACATATAGATTATCTTATACATATATTATATATCAAAAATCCTATTTCAACAAAACTAAAATTAATTTTACTGTAAATTAATATTAATTTAAAAATATATATATATCATATAATCAAAAAATATATATATATAATTCATAAATACTTTAAAATCATTGGCGATGACATTTGCAAACAATTGGATAATAGACACATAATAATTGAGCCAATAATTTTAGGAAAATATAATTTAAAAAGTGTCTTGATCACATTTTTATTTAAATTATTATTATTAGACTTAGTTATAGTGATTTTATAATTTTTCTGAAACCAAAAATTTCTAAAATATTTGTTACTAATGTTTAGACTTTTATCATTAGTAGTTGTAAACTGAACGTCACTATTATTATTATTATTTATGGTTTCGTCTAAATTAAACAAACGTTTGTTGAATAGTTTAAAATTAGTAAAAGTAGTATCAATTTGTCTCAGAGCCCACAGATCATCAAAAATGAGTGTATTTTTCCAGCCCTTCAACAATAGACTGTTCAACCATTGATAAGTGACTTTCAAAGGAAACGATGTCTTATCTTTGGGACACAAGTCGTGTGCGGTGTCGACACAAACAACACCAACATTGTCTTTACCGACACTTTTATCGGGTAGCCGATCGGCAAATAAACAATAAATAAATAGGATTACAGTTAATATATAATTAACACAATATAAGATGAATTCATAGTTTTTTAGTATATCTTGTGTGGCAAACGTGGCCACCGATAGAGCGCCTAATATAGTGTCCAATAGTAGATACAACCAAATCAAACCACCGCTGCTTACAATACCGTAGAGGCGTTGATAATAAAATACCAAACATAATACAAGTCGAGTGATGGTTGTAACAGCAGTGGACAGTATGTAAGCAATGGTGGGACTGTCATCCCATTGATATTTGCGGCACAAACTTAGTATAAGCTCCGACAAGACAATCCCGGTGCTCACTATTACTATAGCTAATCGACTGGTGTTAAAACAGTTCCATTGAATAGTATTTTTATGTGAATTACAGCATTGCTTTAGTAAATACGGTATGTATATCCACATAAATATACAGGGTATCCATGTAATCACTGTATCGATCATACATGAGCTCAGGTATGGCGATGCTGTAAACCACAGAGTACTGGTATCCTATTATTAATTAATATTTAGTTTTCTTTAAAATAATTATAAATTTTAACATAAATGTTAATAAAAAATTAATATTAAATTTATTAATTTTGTATAATAATTATTAGTTTAAATAATTTTTACCAATAGTTTACTGTTGCATATTTTAGCAAACATTGTAATTAAGTTATTAAAAATATAAATTTGATTATTAGTTAAAACTTTATTAATAATAATAGTAATAATGTATAAATTATTACAATTATTTGTTACAAATTTGATTAATTAATTATTATTAACTCTAAATAAATAAATTTGTAATACAATAATTTTTTTGCTTGCTAATAAGTTACTATACAATATAATATTATATGATTTTGCATTTTGAATTTTATAAATTAAAAAAACAAACTGCAATTATTCAACAGAAAAAATTAATTATTTAAAAATAATTAAACAAAATTAATGATTCATTAGACAAGAAAGATGAAAAAATTAATGTTAAAATTATATTTATTTTTATAATATTCAACCAAATTTATATATTTATAAATTAACATTAATAATATTGTATTTAATATAAATATTTATAATAATCAATTGATGAAATAATAATTTATATTTTTATACAGAAAATAACATTTTTAAAAATTTAAATATAAGTCAATATAATATAGAAAGTAATGAATAATATTTAGAAAAAAATTAATTAAATTATTTAACAATATTTATTAATTTTATTTTATTTATTTAGTATAATGAATAATAAATATTTTTTTAATTTTAAAATTTTTGTTTCAAACATATATCTTAATATTGTAATTAAATAAATTGGTAATTTATTATTATCGCTACTGATATTGCTATTTTTTTACTATTGATACATCTATATTACTTATAATAACATTATGGTAATATATTGTTGTGTGTCAGGGATCAGTTGTCTCGCGTGGGTCGGTATGAGACCAACAACCGATAGTAGATCAACAACGGTATCAATTGATCAATCAATAGATGACTCAATTGATTTAGTGATCACTTGAAAGGCATTATATGTGTCAATCAAAATGATGTACAGATCTGCAGTAGTGGTGACCAGAGTGTAGGCCAGGGATCGATCCGTTCGTACTATTGATAACTTTAATGACTTGGAGGGATGGCCAGCGAAATGGTATACTTGGATTGCTGATTGATCAGACAATGCTTGAGATGGATGATAGTGTGGATGTGATGATCGATCTTTGGGGTCTCAGCACTTGAGAACCAATCGTATCGCTTCATTGTCGTCAAGCACTCAATAGCCAATCACAGCTCAGTGTTGGCAACGGTTTTACTGTAGTCGACCTGAGCTGACAATAAAAATAACTGTCACTACTGCCGCACCAGTAGTGCCTAACAATCAGTCCGCACAGGCACTCACTCACTAACTCTTCACATAAACATTACTTTTCAAACATTCAAACATTCAATCACTCAATAAATCAATTAATTATTTCCCGTTATCTTCTGGTGTCCACTCATTACCATTGCTGGCTATCATCGGTACACTCACGCTAAGCAAACATAGCGACCACTTATACCATCAAACCGCTATAGATCCAATGTTTAAGTGAAGACAATAAGTTAGACACAGTTTAGTTACAATACTTTATTATAGTTAACACAATTAAAATAGTAGTTAAAACAATAATTATAAAATGGTATGTAGTTTAAGAGCACATGTATGTGATGAATGCAATGGTGTGTACAGTATAATAACTGGTATGGTGATTAGGATTGCATTGACTGTCTGGTGTACAGCTATTGGTTTGTTTGAATATTAATACAGTTGTATAAATCGAGCACTTGGCGCCAGATAATGGTGTCATTGATCGATCATTCATGGGAAACGGTAGGTATTAAACGATAAAATCAAATAATGAATTCAAAAAATAAGGGATTAAATGCACAAAAAAAATTTAAAAAAATGAAACATTAAAATTAAGGCTAAATAATAATATAAAACGAGTTCCTCAACAATATGATAAATAAAACTAAAAATTAATTTAGTATATATTATATTTTTATACCACTGGGCTATACCATCTATTAATAGTACAATTATATAATTATTAAAAAGATGTTTTTTAAATGTTTAATATCACATAATTAATACATTATAACTAATCAAATATAATAAAATTATATTCAACTATTTCTAATATAAATAAATGAAACATTATTATTTTATTATAATTAGGGGTCGTATATTTATTAAATTCTATCTGATAATAACTGTATTATACTGATATGATTTTTTTAAAATCAAATATTATTGTATTAATATAATATTATGTATAATACAATCTGTATTTTAGTGTGTGAACGATATGTATACTATAAATACAATTATCAATAAATATTGTTGCCTTAGTAATTATTATCTAATAAAAAAATTACTAATAAATTTTTATTATTTAATATTTGACTCAAGATAACACTTTAACATAATAGTTCTGTCTATATACAACCATATTTTATTCAAATGTAAAAATGTATTGTTATAACTTCAATTTTTATTGAAAGCAATATTATTTCTATGGGAAATTTTAAATGATTATTGAGCTGAAGTATATTTTAGGGAAAGTAGGCATGTGCTAAGTAACTATATTTTGATATATGGTATGAGTCACAGAGCACCGGGAGGTAAATTACATGTGCTTGTAAAATTCTCTCAAATACATAAATTTTCAATTTGTATTAAAATTTTAAATTTTTATTCAAAACAATGTTGTTTCTATAGAAATTTTAAATGTTTATTGAGCTCAGGTAGGTTTTAAGGTCAGGAAGGTATTAGTTGTGTAATTACATTTTGCTATTTTGTATAAGTCACACTGAACCGGGAGGTTACTGCTACATTTTTGTATTTTTTCAAATGCAAAAATTTTACCAACTATGATAAATTTTTTTAATTTTTAATTTTTTCAAAGTTATGTTATTTCTATTGAAATTTTTAAATGTTTATTGAGCACCGGTAGGTAAGCGGGACAATAGGCAAGTGCTATGTAACTATATTTTTTATTATATGGTATTAGCTATTATCTGGCACCGGGAGGTTAATTACGTGCTAAAATTTTTGTGAAATTTTTTCAAATGAAAAAATATTCGCAAAAATGATTAACACGAAATGATTTTTAACGTTTATTAAATTTTTTAAGAACATAAAAATCTAAAATTTTTTTAAAACAGACGAATTAATATTTTTTGGTTCCGTAGTTTTGTTAGAATAAGGAGACTATTTAATAGCAAAATACAGAGTTTGTTAATAACGCAAGATTTTTTCATAGACGTTTTCCTGGATAGCCTAAACTGGATTTTACTTATATTATAACTACATGTGTATACTACATTATAGCAAAAAATGAAACATATTTATCAAATCAAATCAAATCAAATCAAATCTTTATTGGCATATCTTTCAACAAAAGCTGATTTACAAAGAAAGCCATAAATAAAATTTACAATAAAATTAACAACAATTTAAATAAAATAAAATAACATAAATATATTTATAAAGTGTTAAAATCAAACTGTTTAAGTTTGTTAATAAATTTTTTAAAATTTATTCCAGTTTTCCACTCCTTTGCAAAATATTGTATTTTTAAGTTAGTTTTTGGTAGCAAAAGGAGGGTTTATATGATGAGAGTCTCTTCCTCTTCGTGATGATGTCCTATCATTATTGAAAGCAAACAATGATTTTGAATATTCAGATCCCAAACCATTTATTGATTTATATATGTAAACAATTGAATGATATTTAATAGAATTATTTATAGAAATCCATTTTAATTTATCAAAAATTGGTCGACTATTTGATAAAAAATCAGAATTAGTTATAATTCTGGCGAATCGTTTTTGTAATTTAATTATTTTATCCAAATGTGATGCATATGTATGACCATAAATTGCTAATCCGTACTCCATTTTAGGCTTAATTATTGATTTATAAATAAAATTTAATGTATTTTCATCTAATATTTTTTTAATCTGTATATAACATTAAATTTTTTGTTTAAATCTTTACATAAATCGTTGATATGTTCTTCGAAAGTAAGTTTGTGGTCAATGATAACCCCAAGAATTTTAGTATAATATACTCTTTTAATTGTTTTCTCATTAATAATAGGATTTATATGTTGTATACTATCCTCTTTTGGGTTTCCAATTAACATATAATTACACTTTTGATAATTTAAAACAAGTATTATTTTTTAACCATTTAGTAATTTCATTTAAATCACTGATAATTTTGTTGTTCAGATCTTTATAATTATTAGCATATATGACAAGAGTTATGTCATCAACAAAAAGATAAAGTTTTCCAAACAAATTAATTTTTGTGATATCAGACATAAATAGATTAAAAAGAAGTGGCGATAAAACAGATCCCTGTCCTACTGATAATGTGTTTATTAGTGGATCCGAAAGTTGATTATTATAACAAACAAATGAATTTCTTGACGATAGATATGATTTGAAATATTTTGTTGTATTTATGTCACAAACTTGACTTAATTTGTTTATTAAAATTTTGTGATCTATTATATCAAATGCAGATTTCAAATCAAATGTTATTAATATTGATTTTTGGCTTTTATTAAGAGAAAAACAAATATCATGTAAAATAGCAACTAATGTATCAATAGTTGAATGTCTTTCTTTAAAACCAAATTGTAATTTAGATAATATATTATTAGTTATGAGATATGATTTAAATGTTTTTTCTATGTGTTTTTCTCATAACTTTCCAATACATGATAACAAACTGATGGGTCTATAATTAATTACTTTATGTTTAATACCATTTTTAAATATAGGGATAACTTTTGGTATTTTCCATGCATTTGGAAAAACTGCAGATTTTATTGAATTATTGACAATTGAAATATGAAAAATTAATGTCATTTTAAACATTTTGATGAAATAGTTGTTTACTCCAAAACAGTCCTTTGATTTTTTAGGTTGAATTTTGTTAACTATATTTAATATATCAGTTTCACCAACAAATGGTAGTTTAAATTTGTTTTCATCATTATATAAGTTATTAATTGTAAATGAATTTTCATTTATGCCATATTCACTGATTATTAAATTTTTTGGTGTTTCAACAAAATGATTGATAAATTTGTTTGCATCTAAATTGTCGTTTAGCTCATTAGTTTTTGCTTTTTTATTAGATTTTGTCGGAACTATTGTTTTAAGTGTTTTCCAGAGCTTAGTTGTATTATTATTACACTTAAGTATTTCATTTTCATAATATTTTTTCTTTTTTAATTTAATTATTTTGTTTTTATGATTTCTTAATTGTTTAAGTTGTAGAAATAAATTATTATTTGAATTATTATTGCTTTTTTCATTTATATAGGTTTTATGAATTTTATTTTATTTATTAATAGCAGTTAAAACATCATTATCTACCCATTTATCAATTTTATTGTTTGTAATTATTTTTGATTTTACGGGTATTTCTTTAATTATTTCATGCAATTTAGTACTTAATGTTAAACAGCATTTGTTTACATCAGTCGAATTGAAATATATTTTTGAAATTTTTTCATTCAGTTTATTAATATCACATTTTTTAAAATTTTGAAATTTATACTGAATTTTTGTTTTGTTTTTGTAAACAAAATTTACTTTTCTTGAAACAAATGTTAATAAATGATCACTAAATGTAATGTCAATAACACCAGAATTTGAAATATTTGATACTTTATTAGTATATTTAATAGGGCGAAACTTTATATTGACGTTTTTCTGAAGAAATTAGATATCTTAATTGTCCAGTAATTCTAACCATTTATAATCTTTTAAGACTTTCAATTGTGGTTTACAATTCTATATATCATTATCATTCAGTTTGTTAATAAGTCATGCTTGGATATGATTGGAAACAAATTTGGCAGTCATTCAAAATTTCTTATGAATATTTATAAAATTAGTAAAAGATTGCACGACTATACATGTTACGCGGGTAAAACTAGTAAATGCTAATATTTAATTTTATAAAAATTTAGTAATAAAATAATAATAACAAATAATATATAAAATTATAAATAATAACAAATAATATATAAAATTATAATTAATAAAAAATAATATATAAAATTATAAATAATAACAAATAACTTAGTGTTTTATTTTTTGTTTCAAATATTTATTTGTTAATAATAATAATACTAATAATAATAATTTGTTTCACCATTAATTATAAATATTATATATTCAATATAAATTAAAATTTACTTTTATAGTAAATTACAACAACAACAACAAAAATATGTTAAAATTGCGTACAATTAGAAAAAAACAAATGGCCTTCAATAGGTATTTGAATGGCCAAATGGATGACTTGAATCCTATTTCAATTATCAATCAACTACACAGTAATTCAACCTGGACAATTAACCAAACCTATCCAAATGGTAGGGAATGGATAATAACATTGACGATACCCGATTGGGTATTCAAATTTTCGGCTACCGTTACCGATAAGGAACAGGGCAAACAAGATATAGCCAGTCAAGCCCTGTCAGTTATGCGCCAGCGATACATTGATTTTGTTAGCAAATCGACTAAACAGATACAGGATGATCATTGTCGACAATTTCAGTTGCCTAGTAAACCGTTTGCTAATAAACTTGGTAATAGTGTGGTGGAAAAATATACTAGCTTATTTAATCTAAAAGACAGTGATGTTATAGCGGCAATTGTGGTGACCGATAGTAGTAGTAGTAGTCAACAATCAAACAAATCAATAGATATTGTATGTATGGCTAGCGGTACTAAACATGTTAAACGTGAAAGTTTAATGACAGCACGCGATGGACGTGCACTGGTGGTCGACTGTCACGCAGAGATTCTTGTCAAACGCGCGTTCAGACGCTATTTATACCAACAGATTAAATGTGTTAAAAATAATAACACAATAACAGGTTAGTTACTAACTTAGTAGTAGTAGTATTACTGTTAATTAAAATGATTTTGTTGGTATTTGTTTTTTTAAATATATGATTTTTTTGTTAAATAATAAAAATAAATTAAATATTCAACTAGATCAAACAATTATTATTGAAAAACAACTAAATAATGAAAACCGGTATAGACTCAAGTCAACAATTGGTGTACATTTATTTATAAGCAAGGCACCGTGCGGTGATGCAAGTGTGTTCAATCAGTCAACCAAGGTTATTTATTGTTATTTTAGCTAGATTAGATGCTAGTATATGTAAAATTAATTTGTATTATATTGTATTTATTTTAGGCATAATCAATATTTTAATCTAGTATGTAATTTTTTTTATCTAAAAAATCAATTTTTCAGCTGTTAGATGATCACCCGGAAAAAAAATCGCGAGCTTTATTGAGAGCCAAAATAGAGGCCGGTATGGCAGCTATACCGACAAAAAATATCCAAGGTCGATTTGCTATTATGTCCTGTTCAGATAAAATTGCCGTTTGGAGTGTTTGCGGCATTCAAGTACAGTATTCAATATTTAATATACATATCTATTATATATATATATATATATATATAAATTATGCTAATTTTTATTCAATATAAATAACCATGATAATTTGATATGTAAATAATTAAAAAAATTTCTATGATCTCACTCACTCACTCACTCACTAAACTAATCAGGGATCATTATTAAGCCAGTTTATCGATGAACCAATTTATCTAAAATCGATTATTATGCCTGAATTTAATATGCAAGATGCAAAACGTGCATTCTATAATCGATATAATTATAATGGCAATAACATTGATAATAATTTGAATAATGGTTACAAACTTAACAAAACACCATTGGCTAAATGTAATTTAAAAAATAAAAAGGTACTGTATTATTTTAAAAATTTATTATATATATATATCATAGATAATATATTAAATATCGATATAATAGTAATAATAATAATAATAATTTTAGTTTAACAAAACATCAAATTATTCGTTTGTATGGATTAAAGATATTCCCGTTGAAGAAATAGATCCACACACTGGTCTCATACGACACACTGGACAGCCGTCATGTTTGTCCAAACAATCACTTTATGTCGAGTACTGTTCGGTTATTAACAACATAACCGACCGTCAAATGAGTTATGAATTGTATAAAAAACAATCGCTAGACTATTGTTCGGCTAAAACACAATGTATAAAAACATTGGAAAACAACAATTTTGGACCATGGATACATTTAGATGATCAATTGGATCAGGTTTAATTAAGTCAATTATATATATATATATATATTTAATTATTATTAAAATCTAAATTCTAAAATAATAACTATACTATAAATAATAATTAAATAATAACTTTAAAAATTATTATTAAGTTTAATAATAATAATATTATTATTATATTAAAATATTGAATATAAATTAAATGTTTTATACGTTTTGCTACTCTATTAATGTATAACTTTACTACATATTGTATTATATATGTATGTATTATAATTAAATTTAAGAAACATAAAATTAAATTCATATAATTATTTAGTAAAATTCTACTGTATATTACATAAAATAATGAAATTTATATAACACCGGCATCTCTGGCCAATGAGTAGAAAATTGTTGTCCGATCATTGAGTAGAGCATCGGGTTCGGCAAACTCGGCTACCCGTCCATTGTTTAGTACTAACACACGATTATAATCCATAATTGTATTGATTCGGTGAGCAATTGTTAAGATAGTACAGGACTTGAACTCTTGTTTAATGGTTTGCTGTATAAGTGCATCAGTTTCGACATCGACGGCAGCCGTGGCCTCATCGAGGATAAGGACGCGAGTGTTGCGGAGCAGAGCCCGAGCCAGACATATAAGTTGTCGCTGACCAACACTTAGGTTATCACCCGATTCGGCTATTGAATAGTCGAGTCCCGATCTGCTCGACATAACAAACCCTTTGAGATGTGAGTGTTCTAATACTGTCCACAATTCTTCATCAGAAAACTTGTCGAACGGATCCAAATTAGAGCGAATGGTTCCCGAAAAGAGTATCGGTTCTTGTGGTATGATTGTCAACCGTGATCTCAACTCATGGAGACCGAGTTTACTGATATCTATGCCATCAATAACAATGCGACCCATTGCTGGCTCAATGAGCCGAAACAGTGCCAAAGTTAGTGACGACTTTCCGGCACCGGTTCGGCCAACTATTCCTATCTGTACCCATAAAACGCTAATTAAATATATATATTTATATTGAATATAAGTTTATTAATAATACCTTTTCACCGGAATTTATATTGAGTTCAATATTATTGAGCACTAAATCTAATCCTTCCCGATATCGAGTACCGTATCCATCGAAATGCATTTTTCCTTTTTCTGGCCAATTTTCGGACAATTTTTCGTTTGACTGCCAATTGGCTTCCGATTCTAAACAACAGTACTCATTGATCCTTTCAACCGAAACCATATTGTTTTCTAACTGTGCAAAAGCTCTAATCAATTCACCAAAATTGGCTGTCATTGTTATAGCATACGACAGGGATAGTCCTATTTGGCCGCCGGTAAGCCGTCCTTTCGATAGGATGGCAAACAGTGCGGCAAATAGTATCAGAAAATTGCTTAGTGTTGTCAACCATATCTGTAGCCAACTGTAGGCAATAATGTTTGGAAAGAGACACATCTGATTGCTGTCCACTCGACTATCAAAGACATCGATAAACTGTTGGCCGTAGCCGTAGGCTCTAATACTGGACACACCGTTCAGTGTTTCGCTAAAATTTGAATATATTGGCGATCGGGTTAACGACTCTAATCTATTTTTAAAAATTATTTTAAATTTAGATAAAGAATCAATTTTTTAAAATATCAATAATTTATACCTTTTTAGTTGTCGTGAAGTTTTAATATAAATAATCTATTTTAAAAAAAATAATTAAAAATCTATAGCTATAAAATTCATGTACTGTATATTAAATAATAGTTTATTGTTATTTTATTTATTAAACAAACTAACCTGTATTATATAATAGAAAACTGGTACCAATGCTACCGGTATTAAAAACAATGGTGTCTGTATCGATACGATAATAATTGTGCCAATAATTTGCAATACATTATCAGATAAGATGCTATTAAATGTATAAAATATTTATATAATTAATTTAATAGTCTATTAATAAAAAACTTTTTCAAAAAAAAATTTAATTAACTAAATTTAAACTAAATGATAATTACTTGATTGTCATCGGTAGGCCTGAATCTAAAACATCAATATCATTGCCAAATCGGTTCATCAAACGGCCCACTGGTGTCGTATCAAAGTAGCCCATAGGCGCGTGCATTACGCACTTTAACAGTGTTTTATGTAAAATACCCGATGCCCTGAGGCACCCGTTGACCATCAGCAATTTGGTAATTGCCAAAAATATTGTCGTACCCAATATAATGGCACCGAAAATGGACAGATAATAAAAGTTGGTGTCGGTATCAATATGACTGCTCCATAGGGACAGCCAAAAACTGGAGCCATACATGAGTACATTAGATATAATACTAGCAATTATGATGCCCAGCGTATAGAGTCCCATATATTTAGCATAATTAATATAGATCTGGATGATATTGTTATAGAAAATATTGACATACAATAGATTTATAATACAATACACACACACATATATATATATATATATATATATATATATATACTTATATCAAAACATACTAACAAATAAATTTTTTAGATGCACCCTAAAATTAATACATAATATACTGCATATAACATCTACATACATAGTGCCAAAAATCCAAATTTCTTTCCCGTACTGTAATATAAATCTATATAAAATTTTCCCTACTCAGTGCCAGAATTACCAATTTTAGACATCAATCATTACATAACATAGTATAAATAGTATAATATTGTAGTGATTTCTGGCACCAACGCATCACTAAAATATTCCCATACACCCTTGAAAATTTATATTGATGCGACCGAGACTATAAAACCCCAAGTATTCTCAATGATTTTATCATTGAGATACTGGTAGTCAATTGGCATAGACTAGTACTGCTAAGAGCCGTTAGCAGATCAGTTCTCTCCCCTTCTGGTTCGACCCCCTTCTCTGATATGGTCCGTATACTTGGATGTATACCTCGTATTGATGTCATTTTAAAATAAAGCCTTTTGGATTTCTAATGTAAGTGTTTAATTTTATTGTCTTCTACCCTTTTCTAAGCGACCTAAATCCGTGGGTTCCCGCGTCGGGAGCTCCAGTATCGTAAAGGTCCCTTCTTATCTACATTAAGGTGAGATGACTGGCCATCGGATCCGCCGTGTCGGGGGATCTGGTCGGTTATGTTGTCAAGCCTTCCCGCGTATAGCTAATGGACGGAACCGCCGTGTCGGGGGTTCCGGTCCAGTTATGTAACCTTACCAAACCATACCCTATGATGGTTAGCCATCGGATCTGTCGTGTCGAGAGATCTGTACGGCTACGCTGTCCTTCTCCCTTACCTCCTTTGACCTATACTTAGTTATTGTTGGTATAGACTACTATATGTGTCATATGGAAGTCTCCGACATCCCCGAGATTGTACCAGGCCGCCGAAGGCTCTGCCCGATTTTTCGGCGATAGTCCTACGTTTTAGTGAAACAGTTGTAGTTTTGTCGGTTCTAAGTGTTATTTAACACTAATAGTCTGACCTCAAAATACAATTTACTAGGTGATCCACTAGTTGCTGTCTACGTGACAATAGCACTAGTTTTGTTGATTGTTGTAATTATCGGCTGTTTGAGTGAATGTGTGTGTGAATGCATAGCAGTGGATTTCTCGAGTACATATGTGCTTTCGCTAACCTAGTTGGGAAATGCATAGTTACTATTCGATACTGACTGACTAGGCAGGCCAATGGTCCCAAGAGGGTTCCGGTCTCCCGATCGCGTGATTGTGTGTTAATAGCCGATAACGGACACTGAGTTTAAGACCGTTAACATACGCTCCTCAATAGTGATCCGAGAGTATAGTTAAGGTTTGCCTTAACTTTATGAGTCTATAGTCACCTTCGGGATTGACTGACCCGGTATAAATAAATATTTGGACACCTAATAGTTTATTGTTGTTACATATGCACTGTTCTTACAATATCACGGCCAATAACCTATCGGTGATGACAATTGACCCCAGAGACGACATAGTTATGTCTGACCAGATTTAACTGAATACCGTATGTGAGATAATAGAAATGTTACGATAATTATGTAATACTGTCGGCAATCTGTCGGTCATGTATTGTCTTTATCGTACTTGAGTGTATGATGTGTTTGTATAGATTTATGTTAATTTATGTTATCGGTGACTCTCCGGCGATGCATTCGTTGACCGATGCGGCGGCGGTTGTGTACGCGACACCGCTTGCTGTAGTTAATGAGCGCCTTATCATTGACGCCACCACACATACAATTTTGTCTAATATAGTCCTTGTCTATGTATGTTAGTTGAGTGTAATTTTGTTGTCTATTGTTATGATATACAGTAAAGGGTTTTATTTGAGGGGAGATAACACATAAGTGCTAAAATAAACAAAAACAGATTAGCTTAAAAATATGCATACATATACATTAATACACATTTATATATTAATAATAAAAAAACTTAAGGAAAATAAGCAAATATCATATGACTATATGATATGTATTTAATTCTTTGACAAAAACAATACTTTAAATGTGTTTAATCTATTTTATTGTTTTTATTTTATGTATAAAATTTTGTATACTTAATATTTTTTTATGTTGTATATAATAAATTATTGTTTAGTTATATGTTTTGCCTCATTTAGAACCCTCTAATATACAGTACAGATTAGTAGTTCAGTGATAGTCACCGTAACACAGGTTTCGGGTGTTATCACATTTCACCGACGAGTGTCGGGTAGGGTTTAACTAGTGTTTAAACGCCTTTATTTAGTGCCGGGTAGGCACGGCTGGAGAGACATAGATGGGTTAGATTCCCCCTGAGATTGCTTGTGACGGTCTCATGGTTATGTCATCAGAGTCAGAGGACTCTGATTTATAGTTTGGCCACAGGGTTGGTCAACGGGTATAGCATTACTTATCCTATAGTGGGTATTTGAATAGACTATACGCCGGTTTTACCGACGGTAGTACCGAGTGATGGTACTGACCCTTAGACTCAGTCTTACTAGTAGATTGGGTATTGAGTTGCATGTTTTGGTTAGAGGGAGGCTTTGAGGCTTCTCTCGTTGGCAATTATTGGTAGGGCCCGACCAGTTAGTCAATCGTTATGTTTTAGTTACTAGTTTATAATTGCGACAAGACATTTGTTGTCATTGAGTAATGTCGGTTTTTGTTTGTTTTAGCGCAAGTGTTGCGGCTAGCCAGCCATTGTATGGATGCTGATAACACTGTATCGTCCTGTCTTCAGTATACTATAGTTGTGTCACGTGTAGTGAGTGACCAAACTAGTAAAATAGTTTTTACTGGTCTCAGAGCTTCTGACCAGACCCGAGTGGTACAGACTTCGAGTCTTAACTCTCAAAACAATGAGTCTGTCTTAACATTGAATAGTGTTTCGTTTGATAGTAAAGGTCAAATTGAATTAAATAATCTCAGGACCAGAGATAATACCTTTTATATAATTGGTCCGCAAAGTAGTAATGTCTTAATTTACGATCAATCAGACATAGATTGTATTAATAATTGTGTAGTAAAAGCTAATATTGTGCCCAATGTACAATTAAGACAACCTAAACCACTACAGGAGTACTGTGCCAATAGTGGCGGCCATTCCAGTGGTTTACGTGAAATCATTGCATGGAAAGTGAAGCGAGTAACTCACCCCAAAAATTCTCATGAAACATCTAAATAATCAACACTTTCCAGATATAAATGGCAATGCTATTAAAATAATATTGAAACGGTATAGAAATAGGATATATTATAGTTATAACAGTAATGATAAAATCTACTCATTACAATATATGTTTTTTAAAAATGCGTAGAAAATTTAGTTATATTAAAAAAATAAATAATATATTACTTATAAATATAGTAAATATTTATAATCTATATACATTAAATTTAACTTGACCAATTTGGACAATTTCCTCATCAATTAATTTGCTATTATTGTTGTCAACAATATATTTATCTTTGGTTTCCGATTCAAATCGTTTTACAATAATTTTGGACTTATTATTATTATTATTATCGTTTTTGTCAATACTTTTACAATTTGTATCTCTATTATAAATATTATTATAAATATTAGTATTATTATTATTATCACTGTTTGAATAATATTGTTGTATTAAATCGGAAAAATATTTATTATTTGCTAGCAATTCATCGTAAGTCCCAATAGAAGTGATTGATCCGTCTTTGATAACAACTATGCGGTCGACATCGGGTAACATAAATAGTTGATTTGTTACCAAAATTCGGGTTTTGTGCCGCAAAATACCAGTTCGCGAATCGAGTACTTGATCTACAATGTGTTTACCCACATGACTGTCCACTGCTGATAACGGGTCGTCTAATAAGTATAGATCGGCACCGGAATATACGGCTCGGGCCAAACTTACTCTTTGTTTTTGACCTCCACTCAAATTAATACCCTTTTCGCCGATCTCTGTTTCATCGGCACCGGGCAACTGTTGTAAATCCTGTTTGAGCGCACAGTTATCTATAACTCTATTATAAAGTTTAGTATTCAACTGTTTCCCGAACAGAATATTCTGTTTGAGTGTCGTATTCTGAATCCACGACTGTTGGGGAACGTATGCTATGCTTATATCTGGTCTAATATTGACGGTACCATCAATTAGATCCATATCGCCGAATAGGGCCGATATCAATGAACTCTTGCCGGAGCCAACATTGCCGACAATGGCCACAAATATGCCGTCCTCGACAGTCAAATTAATTTTATTTAATATGGGTTTTGTATTACCGATTGCACAGTTAGTAGTATTAGTATTATCCCACGAAAATGTTGCATTTTCTACATTAATAACTGTTGTATTGTTTAACATTGTATTGTTTTTTCTAACATAATTTCGGTGTTCATTGCAATTTAAGAATCGTTCAATACGTTTAAACGATACAATTATCTGTAAATTCAATAATAATATTAATAATAAATTAAAACAAAATAATTAATTTAAATATAATTTTTAAAATATAATTTTCTATATACAGAATAACTACAGTATATATACAGTTAGTGTATTATATATATATATATAATTTTAAACAATACATACTATAGAATATTTTTTGAACAAACATTATTGTCATTATTATCGGTATTTTTGTGGATATAAATATATTTATATATTATTTAATTATTTACATTAGTATTAGTATTATTATTATTATTATTACAAAAAATATTATTAAATTTTTATCTAACATTACCATTGATAAACTGAAAAATCCATATGGAAATGTAGACCAGGTTTCGCGTAAAAAATTAAACAATGATAACGAAACAAATATTTTTTGAGCATTTAATTGGTTGGTAGTATTGATGGCTACATAAGTACAATAAGTGACAAACTGGACAACCAGTGGACTGGCCAATGATAGGGATGTAAATACAACCATTAGATAACCAATTGATTGTATTTTTAGTAACTCTTTTCGGCGGATTTTGTTTATCCAAATCATAAACGCCTCCTCCCAGGCGTACAACTGATTATATGATTTATAGATTAGTATCAATATTATAGTATACATAAAACATAACTTTTATGGACAAAAAAATAATTTGTAAATTTGTTTAATTTATATTTAATAATAATAATAAAAATATTTTTATATAATTAATTTACTTTTAAAACTTTGATTCCGTTAAATATTTGATTGATTAAATTGATTCTCTTATCTTTTAATAACATTTGTTGACTTTGAATGCCTTTAGAAAATAACATAAGAAATAAATTGATGACTAGTGTGACCACTATAACGGCCAAACCGATAAACGCTGTGACACCCAATTGTACGTATAGTAAATACAATGTTAAGGCAATCTGAATGGGAGCGGTTATCAGTGCTACAATGGCATGAAGATTATCTAAAAAAATAAATAAAACAATAGTGTAATATATATAATAAAAACCGATTAAACAAATAATAAGTTTCAAGTAGTAATCAGTTTCCACAACTAAACATTATATGATATTTTTAAAAAAGAAAATAATAATAAATTGGTAAACATTTTTTCATATTTTAGTTTATTGTATCAAAATGTCTATTAAATATACCAAACTCTAGATACTAACCATTAATTCGTTGGCAATCAATGGCCATCAGATTAATAATTTCTCCGTTAGGTGTTTGCCGTTTGGCACCGTTGCTCAGTACCAATGATTTGCGATATATGGCCGATATTAGACACGATCGCACACGTAAAGCTTAAACAAACAATTTATATCAATTTATAGGTATAATTAATAAAAAATAATAATAATTATATGTAATAATTTTTCGTTATGAGAAATCATACAAACGGTGCAAATATGTTCGTTATAATTAGATTGTATAATAGCTACTAAAACATCGACAGTCACCAATAGTATGGCGTATACATAACCGTGCCATTGTGGATCATCAATGTTATCAATATAATTAATTATCAAGCTAGAATTAAATTTGTAGAAATATTAGAGTAAAATATTAATATATAGAAATACATAGTTTTTTTTGTAAAACATTAATATTTTATTATTTACTGTACTCTTATAAGTAAATAACTAGAAATGCAATTTTTATTAGATTTGTTTTTTTAAGTATACATTTATATATAATATTATATAATATTTTCACGAAAAATAATAATAATAAAATGATTTTTTTTTAAAAATATATACAGTATATGTAATATAATTATTGCTAATAAATAAAACGCTGATTTATAAAATAAAACCATAAAAATCAAATGTACAGTAATTGACATATACTTAATATATATATTAGAAAATCAATTGATTTTTTTGCAATTTAATTAGTTAAATATAAATTAATGTTTAATTAATAAAAAAATTCACAATAAATAAATAAATATTTATAATTAAGTTTTTAAATTTTTAAATGTGTAAATTGAATTAATAATTATTATATATTTAATTTTAAATTAATGTTTAAAAACGCAAACACATTTAACAATAATTATTACAATACAAGTACTGATTGTACTAAATATATATATATATATATATTATTTAATTTAATACTAATTATTTTAGATAAATATAAAAAAAAGTTTACACATACTTTAAAATCATTGGTGATGCCATTTGCAAACAACTGGATAATATATTTAATATAACTGAACCAATTATTTTGGGAAAATAAATTTTAAAAATCACCATAACCAAATTTCTATTATCATTGATTTTCGTAATATTGATTTTATTTTTACTGAACCAAAAATTTTCAAAATATTTGTTACCTAAGTTTGGATTTTTATCGTAAATACTTTTAAACCTAATATCATTACTATTACTATCAAATACTGTAGTATCTAATTGAAGCCAATGTTTGCTAAATAGTTTAAAGTTTACAAAAGTGGTGTCAATAGGTCTCAGAGCCCACAGATCGTCAAATATAAGTGTCTTTTTCCAGCCCTTCAACAATAGACTGTTCAGCCATTGATAGGTGACTTTCAAAGGAAACGATGTCTTATCTTTGGGACACAAGTCGTGTTTGGTGTCGACACCAACAACACCAACATTGTCTTTACAGACACTTTTATCGGGTAACCGATCGGCAAATAAACAATAAATAAATAGGATTACAGTTAACATATAATTAACACAATATAAGATGAATTCATAGTTTTTTAGTATATTTTGTGTGGCAAACGTGGCCACCGATAGAGCGCCTAAAATAGTGTCCAATAGTAAGTACAGCCAAATCAAACCACCGCTGCTTACAATACCGTAGAGACGTTGATAATAAAATATCAGACATATTATAAGTCGGCTGACGGTTGTAACAGCAGTGGACAGTATGTAAGCAATGGTGGGACTGTCATCCCATTGATATTTGCGGCACAAACTTAATATGAGCTCCGATAGGGCAATACATGTGCTCACTAGGACTATAGCTAACCGACTGGTATTATAACAGTTCCATTGAATAATATTTCTACAAGAATTACAGCATTGCCAACATAGGTATGGTATGTATAGCAATATAAATATACAGGGTATCCATGTAATCAATGTGTCGATCATACATGAGCTTAGATATGGCGATGCTGTAAACCACAGAGTACTGGTATTCTATGAATGAAAAAAATATTAAATTAATTGATAATTAATGATAAAATTAATTTAAAATTTATATTATTAGTAATTTTTAATAATTTATATATATATATATACAGTATATTAATATATATTAAAAGTAATTTTTACAAATAGCTCACTGTTGCAAATTTTATCAAACATTTCTAATTAAATTTCTAACTAAATAATAATATAGTTTTTTTAATATAAAATTAGTAAAAATAAATAAATGCATATTTATAATTATTGCATGGTAATAATTATCTAGTATAATAAATATACAATATTTATAAATTATCTACATGATTCAGCAATACAACAATTACTGTAAACTTTGTATAAAATTAATACAGTATAAACTTTATGTAAATTCATGTAAACTTCATGTAAATGAAAATATAAATTAATAAAATTTATTATAATATCTGATGATTTATACTTAAAATAAATATATAATTTATTTTTATTTGATTTTATATTTTTATAATTTTCTAACAAAATTATTAACAATTAATAAATTATTTACCGGTAAATATAAACAATTTATTTCAATTATTAAAACCTATATAACTATATATATATATACGGTATTATAATAATAACAACTATAAATAAATTTAAACATAAAAAACATTGTTTAAGTTAATTTTGAATCATTATACTGTCGACAGTAGGTCTTTCCCAATTCAAACGTACTGATCATTATAGCACAGGCAGGCGCCACACGCATCAGTCGAGGAGTAATGCCGGTAAAGACGCCGCGCGCACCCGTTTCCCGATATATGTGCGCCAATAAAGCACTAGTTCTATAGACACCACCGGCACCACCACCACTTGTAGAGCCCATTTCAATCTGCCGATGAGTTTTGACGACATCAAACGGATGAGTAACTATGGCGGCTACTGTTCCGGCACTGGCACCGCATATAAAGCTAACCGGAACAGTAGGTTCTACCGGTGAACCAAAAGCGTGTTGTTTCATCGTTTCATAGACTGCCCAATAGATTGATGAAAACGGAGCGTCACGTAGTATAGTGGCAGTGATACCGGTCCATAGGGAACGATAGCCCTGTACTCTAATCATATGTCTGAGTGCTAGGGCCAGCTCACCGTAGGTGAACAGTTGACTTTGCATTTTGGTTTTGATCATTTCAAGTGGACTGATAATAACAGCGGCCAGTGTTCGGGCCACACTGCCGGCAACTATCGGCACCCATAACGGTTGATAACGATTGATATAACCGAACTGTTTGTTGAGATGCACTCGAAACAGATCATAGCTGGTAAAGTAGACACCCATTCCCGGTATAACCATAGCTCTAGTAGTAATTGATTGTAAAAAAAAATCAACAAAAAAAAGTAGACATAAGTCAACACAACTTCAGATGGAAATGTATGCTAACATACAGTGTCGGCGGGAGTCCACTCCATAATGAGGTCAGACCTTCCGTACGACTCATTTTGATAAACATTTTCTTTTGAAATAAAAAAATTAAAAAAAAAATCCAAAAATCAGACCAATTTTTTTTGGATGTCATATACAGTGACTATCAATACAAACAAAAGTTTGACCAAATTGTCTGCCATTTCCTACGCCACCGGCGCTACCGATTGGCCGAGTATTGGTTGTTGACTGTCTGACTGATGATTGGTTGTTGTTCATCAATGACTCCTTTTGTTGGGCCTGTATTCGTGTCTTCACCACATCCAGAGGTGTGACTAATAAAAAAATATAAAATAATAAAATCTGAGATTAGTTTTAAAAAAAATAAATTTCGGTATTTACTGACCGCACAGTGCCGTTACCGTTGCGCCGATACACGAACTCATCAGCCGCTGGACAGGTGTAAGACTTGATTCGGATTTCATTGCAACCGCTGCTGATGACGACGACCCGTCGGCGGTACTAATAATTATCGGTAATTTTGTGGCCATATTTTTCAGGATGTCGACATTTAAAATCTTTTTAAACAACTGTTTATGTGATCACCACCACCAGCAACAACAACAATGATCTGCTCTTTAATTAAAATACAAAAATCAGTATCACTTTAATTGATTATAACTGATCTCCAGAAACAAGTTTTTAGACCAAATGATAATCACATTATTATTATTAGTTTATTATTATTGATATAATAAATGACAAAACATTTTGATTGCATCAGTGTATTGAACAGTTTAAATATCATTCACATACAACGTTACACTAAGATAATGTGTGTGTGTGTGTGTATGAAACTAAAGCTAGAATTACAATAGTAAGTCAATCATATTATTTAAGTGTAAGGGGCTATAAATATGTGTAATCAATGTCCCCCACAGTCATTATTGTCATTCAAAATACATTACTGTTCACATAAAACGTATCTTTAAATACTGTATATACTGTACCGGTATATGCAATGTGTTTACAAATGTGTTATTAAATTATTATTAAATTTATAATATTTTTGTTGACATTTGTTGTGATTATTATCATTGAAACAAACAAACAAATTGACCGAAACTTAATTATAATCTATAAAAAAAATGTTTTATTGTCTAAACTGTTTGCGGAACCGATTACGAAGTTTTGTTGGCATCAATACATCTCTAAGACAATTGTCTGTGTCTTCTTCTTCTTTATCGTCTTCGTCGTCGACGACTTCCGTAAACGAGTTGGTGGCCAACAACGACAACTTTACTATTGACCAATTGCTAGACATACCGGAGCGCGACTTTGTAGCCGTCGATATCAACACATTTAGCGATGTGATCGTTGATTACAGCAGTGGTGGCGTCGGCGGCGGCAGCGGTTGTAGCAGCGATTTTATCAAACGACGCGTACAACTCATTATCAGCGAATACGAGTACAAGAAGCTGACCGACGGCCGAGTGCCCAGAGAGTTGACTGACCAACATATGCGCGAACTATTGGATTTGGACAACAGTGCCGAACGGTGTCGTCAGTTGCAGTTCTGGGGCTGCATTGAGATCAAGCGACTCAAGACTAGACATATACGGGCTATGAAAGCCCAGTCGTCGTTGTCGTGTCCAACGGTTTATGAGAAAAAGCCGATCGGCATTTTCGGCGATAGCAGCGGCAGCGGCGAAGAACAGTTAGTTTACGGCCCATACCGTAACGGTCTGTTCCAGTTCTTTAATCGTTCGGCTGTCAAACGATTGCGCGCTCATTGCATGAGACGGGCGGCAATGTTTGGGCCGCGAGTGGTCATCGATTTGGACTTTGATCGCTATATGAAGGCCCGTGAATCCAGACTACTGCTAAAACAGTTAAACTTTCTCTATAACTATAATCTAATGGAAACTAAAGAGCCGTTTGATTTGCATTTTGTGAATTGCAATTCAGATGAACTATCGATTCGTGAGATGCATCGGTACTTACCGAATGCCAGTTCCCGGAATTTTTGGGCTACATTTCACTATAACAAGTCCTATACGGATATATTTCCGAAAGAACGTCTGGTCTATTTGAGTCCTCATTCGGATTCAGTGCTTCGGGAGGTCAGCGACGACGATATCTACATAATTGGCGGTATTATAGACAAGTCGTACATCGAACCGATATCGCAGATCAAGGCCCGCGAAGATGGTATACGTTCGGCCAAATTGCCGCTAACCGAGACAGTCAAGTGGCAAAAGGGGACATTGAATTTGTGTATCAATCAGGTGTTGGCCATACTTCACGATTGGAAAATTACTGGTAATTGGGAGCTAGCGATCAAACGCAATGTGCCGTCGAGGAAATGGATGTCGACGACGACGATAGACGATAATGATATTATCGACAACAAAAAGTTAATGCAATTGAAAACTAGTTTATATGTTTGACACAATATGACTGATGAATTTAAATCAATATTATTTATATGTAAAATATATTTTTTTTTTTAATACCATAAGTAATAATTACCGTAAAAAAATAAATACAACAATTTTTTATGAACATTCATATGTTTTTTTTCTTCAAATTATCTTTTATAGTGCACCGGTAGTCATAAACCGGGCGGCTAATGACACAAATGTGGTTTGAGGTTAAGGTGGACTACCATATGATTATTTAGTGCACTCTCTCGATAACAAACAAACAAAATAAATAAAACTTTTTGGTTAATAAAATGATTTTAAATGTTTTCTTAACCAATTTCTTTTTTGTTTATAATTTTTTTTTGTGTATTTGTTTTGTTTGAATTTATTACATTTGTATCTATGAATATTAAAGTTGTATACCGGTACTTATAGTTAAATTATTTGATATCATTTGAAACGTTTAATATTTGTGTATGTGTGTGTATGTGTGTGTGTGTGTGTGTGTGTGTGTGTGTGTGTGTGTGTGTGTGTGTGTGTGTGTGTGTGTGTGTGTGTGTGTGTGTGTGTGTGTGTGTGTGTGTGTGTGTGTGTGTGTGTGTGTGTGTGAAATGTTATAAATAAAAATGATAATTATGTAAAGATATGAGTATTAAAAATATTTAATATACTGAAAGTATTTTTTGAAAAATAAAATATCGGTACTTATATATTTCATTTAACAAAAAACATGATATTTAAAATATTAAATAATTAATATTTTTTTGTTAATACAATTCGTTAAAATTATTAAATATATCTTAAGTATCTAATTTTAATATTCATAAATATTAACAAAATTAATATCAAATACTAATAAAAAATAATTAATAAATTATATTAAAATACAAAAAAGTAATTGAAATAATTTTTTCTTAGATTAAGCAAAAATAATTACTAAAGTCATTTTAATAAATATAAAGTTTATTAATTTGTTTTAATAGATGATAGCTATATAAAAAACACAAACAAAATATTCACAAAAAATAGATAAAATAAATAATAATTATTATATTCATTGATTTGTTCAATTGATTTTTCTTAGAAATGTATTGCAAATAATATAACACTTAAACGATATAAATAAATATATGCAAAAATATGGTTATGAGTTAGTCATACAATCATTTAATTATCAAATTTATCAGAAAAACAGTTTAGACGTTTAGGGGAATTACGCGTGAAAATCAAATGCAATTTTAAATAAATAAATAAATTTTACATTAATATTAATTTTTAAAAATCGTTATTTTCATTTAAATTCAATAACGATAAACAAAATTCGTTAAATAAAACAAACAAAAATACATCAACTGTTTGATCCACAAGAAGTGATACAAACAAACTACTAATCAATCAATAAAAATGGCAAACATTCCAAAACTATTATATCGAAAGCCAGGAATACTTCGATCCGTTTACGGAAAGGAAGAGATTGGGCTCAGAGATCAAGAGTTTGAGTCAATTGTTCAACAAAAAGATCTGAAAACAAATGAACCGATTATTGTGGCGGAAGTGTTTGGAACACCAGGAGTACAGACAAGACAACCGCCAATCAATTATTTCGATCAATTGATACAAATTACAGGACAAGTAGAAGTCAATGATGAGGTCATTCATGGGTTTGTCATATGTTGGTACGAAAAGGACAATAAACAACTTATAATTATTGATTCCTCGACACTCATACCACAAGTAGAACACATATATCAGATGCGAGATTCAGTATTTCCAGTACTGATAACACCAAACCATCGCCCGCTAACAAGATTTCCCGAGGGCTACACTACAGGCATATATCTCGCACTCATGAAATCAAAACGAATTAAGACTGACACTCGGAATGTCCTTATTTTTGAAAGCCGTACTAAGATTAAAAAAGCCAACTGTTCGACACTTGAGGCAAATTTGATTTGTTTTATTCAATCGACAGTTAAAAAACGGTCGAATGTTCTGGTAATCAATTACCTGTTGGATGGCTACGACCAGTCAGTTATCGGTATACACGCGGCACTCAATCAGCCAATTGATCAAATGATTACCACCGAATTTGATCGAATACCCGATTATAATCACCGATTGACTAATCGCTATATGTTTCTCGTCGGCAACGATGGCTATCTATGTATTAATGAAGTCTTGGATTCAATGAAATATAACAATTCTTTGCTTAAAGAGAACACTTATTTCTGTTGCGACGGTAGCCTAGAATTGACAAATATATTAGCCGTTAAATTTATATTTACTAGATTTATAAGAACCACACCCTATCGGAAAACTATTCATATTATACCCGAAGGCGTACAATATATAAATATCTTACGAAAGGATTGTCAACCACTAAACACCGGCCAATTAAAGTCATATATATACGGCTGGTATACTGTATCAGATTATGCCCCAAAAGTACTTGAATTGGATTCAATACAATTGTACACTGATTTGTTAGGTCAACCAAATCCAGTTCATTCATATCAACCGGTGATGGTATTGGCCGATATCAACGATGCTTTGATCTATGAACATAAGTTCAACAACCAAGTGGTCGGCCATTTGCTGTTCTCTCTATCGACCAATCATTGCGACACCAGTTTATTTTTTGACATTTTCATGGTTTTCATTTGTTTAGACGAAACAAATTGGTCGACAGCCACTACATTGTATCAATTGGTCGGTGAATGTTCGGTAAATTATCAGAAATCGTGGATCAAAAACCAATTGAATGCACCGATGATCTGCTATTTTGATAAAAATACTAATCAAAAGCCAGCTGTAAATCTAATTGATTTGACTGCCAATCAATTGAATCGATGGAAACCGAGATTAGATAAACCATTTACAGTATTTGCCTTAACTACGAATTGGCGGACAATATTTTTGCCGTTTATCAATACAACACCAATCAATGGTTGGCTCAATGTTGGCGTCAATTTGGTTGAACGTCAACGAAGTATTGAAGTATTTGGTTTACAATTACCCAATGACTACGGCGTAACTCAAAAGAAACAACGGGTCTAATGATGATTATTCATATGTAGAGAGTATTTAGTTTGTCATATATTTTCATTGTATAAACATTTTGATTTTAAAAACTAATATTTGTCTGTTTCTTAATATACTTAAAGCTTGGTTTTAATACAACACTATTGAACGGTTGGCGTAAAGTTGGCTTTTTACTCTTCAGTTGTCTTTATTGGAGACACAAATCAAAAAGTATGACAAAACAAAAACAATGATTTTATGTAAAAATTTTATTCAGAAATTTTTATTAAAAAAAATCTTCAGTTCAATAATTGTCGAATTCTTTCGTCATTATTATTGTCATTATTATTGTTTACATTTGATTTCGGCGTCGATTTACTTAACAATTGTCTCACTTTTTCATTTGAATCCACTTTTTTGATTTCAGTCGCGACAATACTTTTCTGCTTTGTTTTTGTCTGTTTTTTTTTATTTTAGTGGTGACAACACTTTTCTGCTTAAGTTTTGTCTGTTTTTTCATTACGGGATTCACTTCTTTCTTATTTTCAATTTTATTATTCTTCTTCTTCTTTGGATTTGTGGACACAATCTTCTTAAAGTTGATGACATTCATCTGAATTTGTTGTCCGCCATTATTCTTCGGTTTATCGACAGTTGTTTTGTTTTCATTTTTAAACACGTCTTCCATTCGCTTTTGAATGACTGAAAAATTTTCTGGTTTTTGATCGTCGGTTTGAATGTCGACTTTCTTCTAGATGTCAACCATTTGTATTACTTTTTTATCAAAATATATGGCAAAACCAAATCATCGGTAGACCCGATGTTTTTTTAGAGTTACGCCGTAATCATTGGAAAATTTTAAACCAAACACTTGAATACCTCGTAGACGTTCAGCCAAATTGACGCCAATATTAACCCAACCATTGACTGGTGTTGTATTGATAAACGGCAAAAAAAATTGTCCGCCAATTGTTAGTTAAGGCAAAAGCTGGAAATGGTTTATCTAATCTCTGTTTCCATCGATTCAATTGGTCGGCAGTTAAATCAATAAGATTTACAGTTGGCTTTTGTTTAGAGCAATTGTCAAAATAGGAGATCACCGGTGCATTCAATTGATTGGCTGTTAAATCAATTAGATTTACAGTTGGCTTTTTGTTAGAGTTTTTATCTGAATAGAAGATCTTCGGTGCTCTCAATTGGTTTTTGATCTCCGATTGCTTATACTGTACCGAACATTGACCGACAAATTGATACAATGTAGTGGCTGTCGACCAATTAGTTTCGTCTAAACAAATGAAAACCATGAATACTGAATCTCGCATTTCGGTAATTATTTTTGTAATTTGATCTAGTTTATTATTTATAACTTTTTAGTATTTGTTATTAATTTTATATTCATTATGAATATTAAAATTAGATACTTAAGATATTATATTTAATAATTTTAACGAATTGTATTATTAAAAAATATTATATATTTAAAATTATAAATATCATGTTTGTTTGTTAAATTAAATATAAGTACCGATAATTTTATTTATCATTTTTAACTGAATAAATGTATAGCATAATTGATAATAACTTAAAAATAATAATTTATTAATACAAATATGCAAACAAAACAAACAAATAATACTAATTTCTGAAATCTGAAATGTTTTACAATCAAAATATATGGCAAAACCAAAGCATCATTAGACCCGTTGTTTCTTTTGAGTTCCGTAATCATTGGGAAATTGCAAACCAAGCGCTCGAATAAGTCGTTGACGTTCAGCCAAATTGACGCCAACATTAAGCCACCGATTGATTGGTGTTGTATTGATAAACGGCAAAAACATTGTCCGCCAAAGGGTAAGTATGCCAAAAGCTGGATAAGGTTTATCTAATCTCGGTTTCCATCGATTCAATTGGTCGGCAGTTAAATCAATAAGATTTACAGTTGGCTTTTTGTTAGAGTTTTTATCTGAATAGAAGATCTTCGGTGCTCTCAATTGGTTATTGTTCTCCGATTGCTGATACTGTACCGAACATTCACCGACCAATTGATACAATGTAGTGGCTGTCGACCAATTAGTTTCGTCTAAACAAATGAAAACCATGAAAATGTCGTAAAATAAACTGTGGCTGCAATAACTGTACGATAGAGAGAACAGTATGTGGCCGACCACTTGTTTGTTGAACTTGTATTCATAGATCAAAGCATCGTTGATGTCCATCAATACCATTACCGGTTGATATGAATGAACTGGAATTTGTTGTCCTAACAAATCAGTGGACAATTGTATTGAATCCAATTCGAGTACTTTTGGTGGACAATCTGATACAATATACTGGCCGATTATGTATGACTTTAATTGGTCGCAATTGACAGCATGACGAACAAGATATATATATTGTACGCCTTCGGGTATAATATGAATAGTTTTCTGGTAGGGTATGTTTGGCCTAAATCCAGTCAAATCATATTTACCGTCGAATAGATTTCTCAGATCTAATCTACCGTCGCAACAGAAATAGGTGTTCTCTTTAAGCAAAGAGTTGATATATTTCTTTGATTCCCAGCATTCGTTAATAAAGAGGTAACCATCGTTGCCGACGACAAACAAATAGCGATCACTCAATCGGTGATTCCAATCGGGTATTCGATCAAATTCGGTGGTAATCTTTTGATTGATTGGCTGATTGAGTGCCGCGTGTATACCGATAACTGACTCTCGGTATCCATCCAACAGATAATTGATAACTAGAGCACTCGTTCGTTGTTTAACTGCCGATTGAATAAAACAATACAAATTTGCTGAATGAAAACAATTGGTTTTTAAAATCTCAGTACGACTTTCAAAAATAAGGACATCCCGAGTGTCAGTCTTAGTTAGTTTTGATTTCATGAGTACGAGATATATGCCTATAGTGTAGCCCTCGGGGAAACTTGTTAGCGGCTGTTGGTCTTTAGTCATCAGTACTGGAAATACTGAATCACGCATCTGATAGATATGATCTATTTGTGGTACGAATGTCGAGGAATCAATGATTAAAATTTTATTGTCTTCTTCGTACCAACATATGACAGTTCCATGAATGACCTCATCATTGACTTCTACTTGTCCTGTAATTTGTATCAATTGATCGAAATAATTGATTGGCGGTTGTCTTGTCTGTACTCCTGGTGTTCCAAACACTTCCGACACAATAATCGGTTCATTTGTTTTCAGATCTTTTTGTTGAACAGTTGACTCAAACTCTTGATCTCTGAGCCCAATCTGTTCTCTTCCGTAAACCGATCGAAGTATTCCTGGCTTTCGATATAATAGTTTTGGATAGTTTGCCATTTTGATTGATTTGTTGTTTGTTTGTCTCACTTCTTGTGGATCAAACAATTAATGTATTTTTTGTTTGTTTTGTTTATTGAATTTTATTTGTCGTTTATTTAAACGAAATATTGAAAGAATAATAATTTTTAAAAAAATATTTTTATTTATATATTGATTTTCACGCGCGTATTGTTTAAACTGATTTATCATCAGATGATTGTGTGACCAACTCATGACCATATTTATTGCATATATTTATTAATATCGTTTAAATGTTATATATTTGTCGCACAGATAAGTCAAAAATGAAAATTTGCATTACATTTAAAAAAAACAAACAAAATGACTTCAATATAATTATTATTATTTATTTCATCTATTTTTTGTGAATATTTTGTTTTGTTTTTTTAATATATCGCTACCATCTATGAAGACTGATATTGTATTGACTAATTGATAATAACTAAAAAATAATCTAAATTTCTGAAATCAAATTGTTTTACAATCAAAATATATGGCAAAACCAAATCATCATTAGACCCGTTGTCTCTTTTGAGTTACGCCGTAATCATTGGGAAATTGTAAACCAAACAATTGAATACCTCGTAGACGTTCAGCCAAATTGACGCCAACATTAAGCCAACGATTGATTGTTGTTGTATTGATAATCGGCAAAAATATTGTCCGCCAATTGTTAGTTAAGGCAAATGCTGGATAATTTTTTACTACTGTCGGTCTCCACTGATTCAATTGATCGGCAGTTAAATCAATAAGATTTTTTACAGTTGGCTTTTTAATAGATTTTTTATCACAATATAAGATTGTCGGAGCATTCAATTGGTTTGTGAACTCCCATTGCTTATACTGTACCGAACATTCACCGATCAATTGATACAATGTAGTGACTTTCGACCAATTAGTTTCGTCTAAACAAATGAAAACCATAAAATCGTCCGAAAATAAATAGTGGTCGCAATGATTGTACGATAGAGAGAACAGTAAGTGACCGACCACTTGATTTTTGAACTGGTATTCATAGATCAAAGCATCGTTGATATCGGCCAATACCATCACCGGTTGATATGAATGAACTGGATTTTGTTGGCCTAACAAATCAGTGGACAGTTGTATTGAATCAAATTCGAGTACTTTTGGATTATAATCCGATACAGTATTTCGGCCGAATATGTATGACTTTAATTGGTCACAATTGACTGCATGACGAATAAGATATATAAATTGAATGCCTTCGGGTATAATCTGAATAGTTTTCTGGTAGGGTATGTTTCCGACATATTTAGTCAAATCAAATATACCGCCGAATAGATCTCTAATCTACCGTCGCAACAGAAATAGGTGTCATCTTTAAGCAAAGAAGTGATATATTTCTCAGACCAGCGTTCATTAATACATAGGTAACCATCGTTGCCGATGAGAAACATATACCGATTAGTTAAACGGTGGTTCCAATCGGGTGTTCGGTCCAATTGGGTGGTTATCTTTTGATCAATTGGCTTATTGAGTGCCGCGTGTAGACCGATAACTGACTGGTCGTAGCCATCCAACAGGTACTTATAGTTATTTGATATCATTTGAAAAGTTTAATGTTTGTGTGTGTGTGTGTGTGTGTTAAATGAAATAAATAAAGATATCGATAATTCAACTTTTAAAAAATATAAACCTTTTAAATGAGTCAATAATGAAAATTTGCAAACATTTTGCAAAAAAAAACAATTAAATAAATCAATGAGACTTCAATATAATAATAATTATTATTTATTTCAACTATTTTTTGTGAATATTTTGTTTTGTTTTTTTTAATATCGCTATCATCTATTAAAACAAATAAACAAAATAAACTTTTTAAT